ACGCTCAGGACAAAGCCACATACCGAGGGGGGGGGGGTAACTGAGACTCACGGAGACGCGGAGACTCACGGAGACAAGTCGCCAGATACAGAGGAGTATGCCGAGACTCACGCAGACGCACGTACCGAGATACAGGAGGGGGGAGACGCATGTAGACATGTGGAGACGCATGGAGACAAAGACACGAGACAAGTCGCGATCCACGGGGGCATGACTGAGACTGAGACACACGTACCGAGACACGGGGGGGGGGGGCACACGCGTGCGAGACGGAGAGACAAAGAGACACGCGGAGGGCACAGAGAGAGAGAGGCGAGACAGAGACAAACAAGTTGCTAGACACGGGGTAATAACTGACGCACGCACACACAGAGACACGTGGAGACAGGGGACAAAGGGGACGGGCGCACGCACCACAGAGAGGTGAGGGTGGGGGCAACATTCCGAGACACGTGAAGACAAAGACGCGCCGAGATTCCTGGGCACATCGACGCAGGCGGCGGAGACGCGGGCACAGCCACACAAAGGGATTATGCCATGAGCACGACCATGCCGAGACATAACGGGGCAATATGGGGAGACGGTGGGGGGGAAGACACGCGGACACACGCCAGCACCTCACTGCGCTCATGGCAGCAGCCTCTTTGTCTGCGACCCCGAGAGACGCGCGCACGGTCCGGGACATCGAACCCAGTCGGTGATGAGGGGGGGGGAGACCGTCCTGTGGCTCGCCGCGGTTACGACCATCCCGTGCCCTCTGTGCATCCGATCCTCATCCCTCACCCCGCGTCCTCCTCCTCATCCCTCACCCCGCGTCGCTCGTCCCGCATCTCTCGTGCCACCCTCGCGTCTCTCTCTCGCTACCTGTCCGCGCCGCCTCCTCCGCCACGCTGCGTGGGCCGCTCCGCGCGGCCGTGCCCCCCTCGCATGCCGTCCTCGCCTCCCTCACTCCTCGCGGCGTCACTCACTGAGCCGAGCGGCCCCCCCGCGGCCCGACAAAGTTGCGGGAGTGGTGGAGGAAGGAGGAGGAGGCTGGGGGAGAGAGAGAGAGGGGAGATGGGAGGAGAGGGCGGCTCCGCGGAGAGGAGGGAGGGAAGGGCCAGGGGTGGCGAGACAGACGGCGGGGGAGGAAGGGAGGGAGGATGGAGTCGAGATGGAGGGTGGAGCAGGGAAGATGGAGCAGAGGTGGGAGGGTGGAGCACGGAAGATTGGGTGGAGGGGGGATGGTGGAGCAAAGATGGGGAGATTGAGCAGAGATGGGAATATTGAGCAGAGATGGGAAGATGGATAGAGCAGATATGGAGGGTGGAGTAATGAGGGTGGAGCAGGTGGGATGGAGCAGAGATGAAGGGTGGATCAGCTATAATTGAGCAGAGATTGAGGGAGGATGGGGGAGGGTGGAGCAGAGATGGAAGGTGGAGCTGGGAAGGTGGAGCACGTAGGGTGGAGCAGGGAAGGTGGCTCAGAGATGGAGGGTGGAGCAGAGATGAAGGGTGTAGCTGGGATGGAGGGTGGAGCAGGGATGATGAAGCAGGGAGGGTGGAACAGAGATGGAGGGTTGGTGGAGCAGGGAGCCGGCTTGTTCCCAGAGGCAGCAGCGCTCTCTGCTGGTTATGGTCGGAGCTGGGTTATTGGTCTCGTGGCTAGCGGACACGGCGAGTTCACACGGACGGGTGCTTGCAGGTACCGCTGGAGGACCTTAGGTTTTTATGGCCCCAGGGTCTCGGGGTTTTGGACTCTTGGGGTCTCGGGGTCCTGGTGTGCTGTTGTCCCGTAACCGTATTTATTTACAGGAGGATGTTGGATGTAGCCCTATGGTCATATCAGATCATAATCATCCATGTATCCACTGCTGGAGTAATTAATCCCCACGCCGTCGCCATCCTGTGATGTCACAATAATGCATATTTATTTTAGGAACATTGGTTCAATGCAAGCAAAACTCTGGACCGGCGTAGACATTTAATGTCTGATCAGTGATCAGCAGTCAGGCGTGTTTGAACTGCCAACAGATGTTCATAGACAAGGGTTAGATATGGGTCCTAATTCAGGTCGCTTACTGAAATTATGCACTCCCACAAGGCGGTGTGGCTGATGAGATGTGTAAAGAAAATGGAATGTGCATGACCAGTTATGTGAGAGAAATCAGATTGCTTATTTATTTTAAGTTCTGCGCAACGACGCCAATTATAATTTTGTATCATCCATCTCATGAATGCGAAATGTCATCACCCATGGGCATATAAAGACGCGTGAGTGATTCGTCTCGCACAGAGGGATACACATTGAGGCGAATTCCTCATTTGTTGGCTGTATCTGCAATGCAATTGGGCTGCAGGACTGCGCTGCACACTGGGAAGACTCGTGCCTCAGAAAGAAGCCCCTGGGTTCGATACCAGACTCTGGGTGAGGGGTTTGGATGTCCCCCCCCCCCCTGTTCTGTACTCCCAATTTTCTCCCAGAGCTCAACACACACACAGAATGTAACTGGTATTGGCCAAAACATCCAAAAGCTTGACATTTTAACTGTAAATTACTCAGTTTGGATAACATATAGCAACAATCTTCTTGGTTCTTTCGGTAAAGTCACGTAGAAGGGAAATAATAAAATAATGAAAATAAAACATAATAAAATAATATAATAATATAAAATAATAATAAAAAAGGAAAAACTCATTATTTTATTATTTCCTTTCTATGTGACTTTACCGAAAGAACCAAGAAGACGAATCCTTGCAGTCACGAAAGCTTTAAATCGAAATATAGCAACAACACTTGGCAAGACCCTCCTGAAAAAAGTCCGAATGAAACAACAGAATAATGATCTTATTTGTCTTTGGTGCTCTGCCTTCGCGGCAGGCCCTTGACTGCCATAGTCTCCATCCTCTGTTTCCTGCCCCCAGTCTCTTTAGTTCCACACACGACCCCTTCAGCTACAACAGTATCTCAATCCTCGGCCTTCCTCTCCGTTCTTTCCCCTTCCATCCTTCGTTCTTCGACACCGTCCTCATTCACCACACCGTGCCCTCTTACACTATGCCCTCTTACACTATATGGCATTTGGTCTTCTTCTTCTCTGTGCCATACGTAGCGAACGGATTATCACGGGTGGCTAGGTAGGGTGCGAAAGAAGCTCATACGTAATTATATAAACACAACACTTCCAAACAGAACGGGTCACTTGATATTTACGTGACTCTTAGCGTGCATTATATTGTTTGTATGTTGAACTTCGTACGTAACCAACTGGTGCTAATCGGAGGTGCGGGGGAAGGACAACTCAACACAAAACGCAGTTATAAAGAAACGAGTTTTCAATCTAGATGATTTAAAAGTGCATAGCTGCAGTGGCTTCCTGACGGCCGCAGAAGCGCATCTGGATGATTATTTTTGTGCATTATTATTGTGGTAGTTTAGCAAGGAAAGTCTGACTTAAGTTCCATGACTATTTTTCAGGAGGGTCCTGCCAAGTTTTTTTGCAGTAAGGGGGCGATGTTGCTACGTATTCGCATAGCAATTTGAGAGTCACTGAGCGAAACAGATCAGCCACAAAACCTTAAACATCTGGCAGCTCACTCGCATTGTTTCAATTAAGCCCGGTAAGCTTCACCATCCGAGACACATATCTAACAGAGAGGTTGCTTGTCAATAATCGTTGGGTAATTCAGCAACATTGCTTTAATCAACCCTGCGCACGAGACACTGAATGTCGAAACCGGTCCAGAGTTGCGTTTTTGTTTGCTTGTATCATCACCCAATCAATGCTTGTGAAATTGTGCATTCCTGAAGGCCGTGGCTGATGGGATGTCAAAAAAAATGTATTCGCCTCGTGTATGTGGAGGGACAGTATAGAGGAAGGAGTCCGTATCATCGCAGCGAGAGAGGGCTCTCCAACAATCTCTGCTGTGGTCGCGATTCGGTTGTGCGGTCACGGATGTGGTCTCGTTGGGAGTCTCCCACGCACGTGTCTGCGGCCGGTAGCTATCGGGGCGGGGGGGGGACCCTGCAGCCTCAGCAGCTATGGGCGCTCTCGTGGGATTTCACGGCCTGCCGGGGAATCAGAGGGCCTACAGGGTCATCGCTCAAGTTCGCGCACGTGCTTGTTGAACTTATTTCTATAGGGGGGCCCTCATGGGACCCCAGCGCCTCTCGGCGGACTGGTCGCATCTCAAGATAATGCCATCTCATGATCATCCTGTCGGTATGGCAGGTGAAAGTTTCGAGTCCGTCAGGGGGGGGGCGATTCGGGGTCTTGTGGAACCACGAGCACTGTTGTACTCTACTTCTATGCTCCCTCCGCGGGGCCACCCAGGCGGCAACTGTGGGGGCATCACACACGACGGCCTCCTCGCAACAGGACCTGTGCTGCTTTGCCTCGCGTTGGCTTTCTGTCCCCGGGGGGCGACGATTGTGAGGGCCGTGGTCTCTGGGAGAGGCCGTCGACACCGTGCTGGATGTCGAGTCTGTTGAACTTCTTTCGCACCGCACGTATCCAACCGCGACAATCGGAGGTGCGGGGACACCCGTCATATGGCGAATGCACCTCGGCGTTTCTCAACCCCTCCACGCCGTCGACGGCCCACGTTGACCAAGGTGGTGAAGTGCGGCTCAGACGGCCGCGTGAAGACCCCTCGCCTCCATCCACATCCAGAAGTGAACTATTGACCACGGCGTGGGGGGGGGGGGAACTCGCCCCCATTGGACGATGAGGTAACCGCGGACCAATCACGACGCGCGCTCTCACCCAGCTCGCGCTCTCACTTCAACCAATCGGAGCAGCGGGGGGGGGCTCTGGGCCCCGGTGAAGCCCCCTCCCCCATACCGCGTTCTCTTGCTCCCCCCTCCCCCCTCCCTTGTATTCCCCACCGCGCATCGGTGGCGCGCGCCGCGGCGAGCCAATGGCGCGCGGCCTCTGGGGCGCGCGCTCGAGAGCGCGGGCCAATGGGGAGGGCGCGCGCGCGCATCCGCTGTGTGGAATGTGATCGGCGCGGCCTCGCCGCGTTGCCGCAGTGACGCCGCGTCGCTCCCCGGCGCCGCCATTTGGCTTTGTTAGCGGAGACCCCGGGGAGAGGCGGCGAGGCAGAGAGAGACGCACGCCGCACACACGACGCGCACGCCGCGGCGGGAGATCGAAGGCCAGGAGCGAGGGAGGCGACACGGCGCGGGGACGGGGAGACGCAAGGTACCGCTGAGCTGACGCGGGCATATGCAGCGTGGGGGGGTCACGCCGGGAGAACACCGCGGGTTCAGGCGGTGGGAGACGCCGGGAGAAGGGAGAGGAGGACCGAGAGGTCGGGGCAGGGAGACCACGTCGCGCTCGGAGGCACGCGATGGGGGGGGGGAGAGGCAGGTGGACAGGGTGGACAGGCGGTGAGACGCGGGGATGAGAAGACCCGAGGACGGTGGTGTTGGGGGTTAAGGATGAAGGGAACGAGAGACGAGGGAGGCATGGCGATCGCGAGACAAAAGGCGGCGCCGCATGGAGACACGGGACAGTGAGAGAAGCGAGGACAGCGGGACGGGGAGATGCGAGCTCGGGGTGCAGGGGAACGACAAGAGACGCGGAGAACGCGAGGCGCTCGGTAGGCGGTGGAGGCGGTGCGGGGCCCCCCGTGCGGTGATCCTCACGCACCGGCAGAGACGATCGCTCTTAGCGACACACGGGGGGGGGGGGGGGGGGGCAGCAGCACTCTGCCTTTGTCTCCTCGGTGCGAATGTTTGCAAACTGCATCGGCCAAATAACCATTTGGTGCCGATTCCATCCAGGGGCGGCTCATCACCGGCGAGGGACATAATCGCTGCGCCACCGCTCCCCACTCAACACGCCGTCCCATTCATTCAGACTCGCGCCTCGCCTCCCCATCACCAACTCTCCTCACTCGCTCGGACACGTTGCCATTCACACAATCGCTCCGTCACTCGCTCTGTCACTCGCTCATTATCGACGACAGCAGCTGCACATTTGCCACCAAGTGGCAGTGACGTCACCGAGGCGCTTGTGCCAGGCTAGGTGCACCAAGGAAGCCACGTGGAGTGTCGAATGCTCGCTGCTGACATGAGGTCACGGGACAGACCCGGGTGCTATGGGTTGACTGACTGAGATGACTGGCACCACCTGTCACCACCTGTGGTCCTCCGTGTGGCACTTCGCTGCGTTTTATCCGCCCCGGCGCTCCGCCCGTCGTTGTTGTGAGCGTCGTATCTCTGCCCTCCCCGCTTTTGTTGGAGGGGCGACTGCCTCCTACTGCCCAGGAGCCTCCTCCACGGTCGATCTTGGTACCACGGGTACCAGCCATCGCCACGTCCACTCACTCGGTGCACGTACCGCGTCAGCCGTCTCCTCTAGCCCGTGCCACTCAGACACTCAGCCCACTCAGGCACACATTCACTCACAGTCTCACATCAGCCCCATCTCCTTTCCAGCCCGTGCCATTCACTCGCAAACACTCACACACACACACTTTCACAACAGTCCATCAATTCTCTAGCCCGTTTCTGTGCTCTTTTAGCCCCCCCCTCTATCCGGCCAAACAGAAGGCGCTTGGGGCATGCGGTGGTTGTTGGGTCTTGTCGGCTTCGGGAATCAACCAACTACCGAAGGAGCTCTCGGTGATGGGGGCTGTGTCCAGATCTCCCGCTGACGATCTCGCACTCCCTCACGAGGTCACACGCTGGGGATGCTATTGTCTAATCCGCCTTCACCCAGTAAACACAGACACAATAGACGCAGAGTAGACGAATGAGTCTCCATAAAATTAAACTAGAGAAAAGTCAAATGGACATCGTTCCACTGAGACGAGCACTAATCCGGCCAGGCTACTGCTGCTGCTCAGCGGTAGAGCGAGCGGGGAATGCTGAGAGGTTCAAATCCTGGTTGGGGGGAGTTGGGGTGCTTGGGGCGTCTCAGCCCATTAACATCATTGCGTCCGGAGTCAATGACATGAGCACCACTGTCTAGGGAAGTCAACAGAAATTGCCCCGTTTGTGAGTGAGTCCCTGCCGCGTTTGTAAATGAGTCCCTGCCGTAGGAATGTGGAACTTCCACCATTGGCTCTGTGCAAGGCTTCTAAGCGGGAGATGGGCACGGATGCTGCAACAATTCCCATTTCAGCAGGGAGTCGATTAACTCAGAGGTTCAATTAACTCAGAGGTTCAGTCATGGAGCTCTCCTGGACGGAGACGTTGGTTGTTTGAGCTCATTGTGAAGATCTGATCACATGGCTTTATTTTTAACACCGTTACCGAGCGAAGGGCCCAAAGGGCCAACACGTCAAGCAGCCAGCAACAAACAGCAACTTCAAAGTTTACGAGTGCCATATTTCTTTGAATCGAGCAAGTTTATTATTATGAATGTTTTGGAAATGAGGCGATGGGAGAGAATTTCTGAGTTGAGCAGTGCACGGTAAAAAGCATGAAGAGAAATGTGATCTGCAGTGTGGTGAGTGGGTGAGGGAGTCTGTAAGTGTTGTGATCTGCAGTGTGGTGGTTGTACAGTGGGGATGAAACAAAAGAGTGTGGTGGAACCCAGGGCCGGATCATGGTCCCGTGAGGCCCCTGGGCACATTTCTTTTGGAGCTCCCCCCCCCCCCCCCCCCCAGATTTCCTATATTGGTGTCTTTCTTGCCTTCCTCCTCGCAAAATCATCCACTAGATCGTCAAAATCTAGCTGTCTGACAAGGTCTGACTCTATTGACTTGAGTGGCAATGAGCTGAGACGTGTTTGGCAACATGCTACTCCGCAGCTTATTTTTTATTCTGCCTAAAAGGGAAAATGTTCGCTCACCCTGGCAGTTTGTCACTGGCAAAGTTTGACAAATCCGAAGTGCCACGAAAATATTGGGGGAACACTGCAGATTAAGTGCCTGCAACGTCTCAAGCAATTTAGTTGGGCAGTTCTCACTCTCAGTCAGACATGAAATACTTGAATTGGATGAGTTCGTTGGCAAAGTTCATGTCCAGGTCTGATGGATATGCAGCAGAGAGTGCATTTACCTTTTCCACTATGACATCACTGTTAGACACCTGATCTGACATAAACAGAACTCCAAAGAGACTGGTCAAACGCTTGTAAGCGTCCAAGCGATGTTCAAGGCATGCCACTAGCTTATCAATGACCACATAAAATGTTTCTATTTTCAACTTCTCCCTCCCCTCAAGTGTCACACCTGGCTCTGAGCTCTCATCTGCAAATGTTTTGCGTTTCTTCTTTCGCTGAAGATCGTGCTCATATCCTTGGTTGCTGATTTGATTCTTGTGAACTGCCCAACTGCTCCTGAGGTGGAAATGATGGTTCTTGTATACCATTATCTGTTGAGGGTTCGCTTTCAAAGGATGGCTCTGGGGGAGTGACAACATTACTGGAAACTGAACTAGTGCTAGTTCCTTCCTCACAGCTGACAATAGTGCTGCTGTCATCATTATTACTATCCGAGGGTTTTTGAAAGAAGTTGGCAATGAGTGGAACACTTTGAAGCAAAACTTCCTCTCTTGCCTCTTCTTTTTTGGCTTTCCTTTTGGAAGCACCACTATTCCAACGTTTGTGGTCCATATTTCAGAACTAGTATGCTATTTATATGAATATATTGATAGCATATCTCAATACTTATTAAATAATAATTGAATGAATATATATTAATAATGACAACACCCTTCAGATACTTTTGTTGGAAAATACAATCAAGTGGTAGTATTTTATAGTCTACTTGTACCTAAAGGCAGCTTTGAGTAGATAAAAGAAAAACATAGAAAAGCACAAAAAAGAAAATAACCCTAACCCTGAGAATAGGTTTTCCCCTTTTTTCTGGCAACACAGGTGTTAAGATGATAAAACACCAAACTGAAGCCTTTTACAAGGAATCATGTCTGCATTAACCACAATACTTGTGGTCAGAATGCAAAAAAACATACTCTTGATAAAAAATCCATTGTCTTTGAAACTGATTGGTCCAAAGACAAAGCTTGCCATAATGACGCCCTTCAAACTGTCCTGTTATGCAGAATGTACTGACTTGTTGGTGAATATTGTATCATGTTACAGCATATTGTAGTGTGACAACCAGTGGCTTAGTTGTACAGAAGCACTATACCCTCCGAGAGGCTCTCGTTTTAAGCATGCACTGTACGTACCAAGGGGCCCCAGGTGTTACGCGTGTGCACCGAGGGGCCTGGGGGCCCTAGTGGTCAGCTCACGCTTTAAGCACCAAGGGGCCTCACATTGTAAGCGCTGCGGGGCCCGGGGCCCTAGTGGTCAGCTTGCTCTTTACATGCCAAGGGGCCTGGGGGCCCTCACATTGTAAGCACCGAGGGGTCTGGGGGGCAGTAGTGGTCAACTCACATTATAAACACCAAGGGGTCTGGGGGATCCTCACATTGTAAGCACTGAGGGGTCCTAGTGGTGAGCTCACGCTATAAGCACCCAGGGGCCTAATGGTCAGCTTGCGCTGTGCGTGCTGGGGGCCCTGGCGTTCAACTTTCTTCGGAAGTCTTGGGCCATGCCACCGTGTGCGGCCTGAGGCTTGGAGGCCCCCTGGCAGTCCGAGGCCCCGGGGCACTGGCCCCACTGGCTCGGTCCATAATCCAGTATTGGTGGAACCGAATCCTCAACTTTATGGAGGTGTAATCATCGAGTTAAGTTCACGGGAACAATAACTATGGTAGTATTAGTGATAAAAGAGTGATTGAGAAGCGATTGACAGGCAGTGAGTGAGTGACTGGAATAAATGAATGAGTGCAGGATCATCAATCACGCTAACTGCTGCTTTACACTGAACTGCTGTTCTCGGTGCTGTGACTGACCGGCACTGTGTTCTTTGCAGGTCTTGTCTCGGCCCAGCGACAGGAGGCCATGTCAGGCGAGCAGGGCGGCGTGCCGTCCGGCGTGGGAGGATCGACGGTGCCCAATCCCGGGCCTTCTCACAGCCCCATGATGGGCCCCAGCCCGGGTCCCGGGCCCTCCCCGGGGGGCGGGTCCTCGCACGGCCTCATGGGCATGAGCCCGGGCCCGGCGCCGCCACCGCACCCGCTCCCTCCCGGGGCCCACTCGGGCCACGCTCACGGAGGAGGGCACTATATGCACCCTGGGGTGCCAGGTCCCTTCCCGCATGACAACATCCACGCCCTACACAAGGTGAGCGTCACGACGACGCGTCTGGCTGCGGCCGTGCCAGCCCGATCGGCAGCACACACTTTCACGTTCTTCCCCGTCTGTTTGCATGCTCCGGAGTTCCCAGTGTCTCTCGGGATGCCTGGGCTCTATTTTCCAGAAACTTCCTTTTGGGCTGCTTCGCCTCCAGCTCTGATCCCCACAGTAATTGGGGCGAGATGTTAACTCCCTCGCCTGGTATGCAGGGTTCAATTCCAACCCTGACGTCTGTATATTTAGAGTTTGCATGTCTCTCTCCCCATGGTCTCGTGGATTTTTTTTTGACTGTCATACATTTCTTCTAGATTTGAAGTTTTCGTGACTGCAAGGATTCATACTCTTAGTTCTTTCGGTAAAGTCACGTAGGTAAAAAATGAAATTAAAAAAATAAAACGTCGTGATTTTTATTGTTTTATTTTTATTAATTTTAATTTCATTTTTTACCTACGTGACTTTACTGAAAGAACTAAGAGTATGTTATACATTTCCACATGATAAGTTGTTGGGTTATCATTTGTAGCCAGGTCGCTTCTGTAAAAGAGAAGAAGAGCTCAGAGGGCCTTACCTGGTAAAATGAAATAAAAATTAGGTAAAAAAATAGTTTTTCAATGCACACACTTTTGTTTCCACTGAAAAGTAGAAAATGTATTATTTTCACCCCAGAAATTCATACAACTTCATGTGCTGGGTGGCTTGCATTAAGGAAATTAAACATATCAAAAGGAAGCCACCCACTTTTATTCAGTACATAAAATGTAATTAATTTCTGGGGTGAAACTAATTATTTTTATACTTTTGAATGTAAATAAAAGTGTGTGCATCAAACAACTATTTTATTAACCATTTTTTTGTTACCGTGAAAACTATTTTAACTATTTAACCGCTACGGAGAGTACATGCACACTCCACATATGCAAGCGTGAGGGTCAGCATCGAGCCCATGGCCTCCTGTATACAAGGCGAGGAAGTTAACATCTCATAGAGGGTGCCACGGTGGCGAGATGTTATGAACAAATCACCCGGACTTGGAACGTTCCCTATCTGGTCGGACTTCGAAAGCCAAGCAAATATGAGCTTGGACAGTGCCTGGATGGGTGCCCACCATGCACAAACAGGTTGGCATAGGGCTGCGGGCCCTTTACCAATCTGCACTGACCAGCCGGGGCGAAGTATGGTCAAATGGCCTCCACGACCCAGAGGGCGTGGAGAGGCCCTCATCCAGCAGTGGATTGACAAGAGGTGTATATGCTCCTGCAGGCATTGTGTAGCACTCATCTCCACCAGTGGAAATTCCAGATTCCCATGGCAGGGACCATCTTTAAGAAGCACTGACGACTTCGCACAAAGTGGTATCTATTTTATGACCTTGTAGAGATGACAACGATGGCTTGCCTATGTGAACCCTTGACCCTACAATAAATGAAAGCATACATATTGCTATACAACAGTAAATGTAATGAAAGTTAATAGCACGCAGCCTGAAGAACGGCTATTGCAATGAGAATAACGATCACCCCGATTGCAAAGTAGTGAATTACAATTAGAACAACACGATACGTATAACACGTTGAAATTGTCGTTATTTGCGAACATTGAGTACTGTACTCTATGAAAGACGGTAAAACATTGAGACTGCAATGTTATAACAATGCGTCCATATGCACAACGGTGCATATCGCTACACAGTTTCCAAGATTTAGCACATTAACTTAAAGAACTTATATCAACAATCATAATAAGAACATTTTGGCAATCAAAATAGGCATAGCATTACGGCACTTAATTCTAAATCATGATCACGGCTCTCACCTGCTCGCTCAACTTGAGCATAACCATGTTGCACTCGCGCATCGGAACGGACGTGACAAAGCAAATGATAATGCGATTTATTAAGATTATAACTCATTATTTTAACAATAACAATAGTCATTATTATTGCAGTAGTAATTATTATCGTAATTGTTGATCTCGCACAACGGGTACCACAACGGCCGCTCTGGCGCCATGATGAGTGGCGATGTAAGCGCGCCTTGCATTGGTCAGAGGCTCCCCAAAATCAGCCGCTCTGATTGGATAAGACGTTTACCCGCATTTGTGGGGCACAACCATTCTTGATTTGAAATGGGGGGGGGGGCAGAATATACAAGTATTGCTTATTCACAGGAAGTAAAAAACACATAGGCGCAGGATCGGCGGGAACTGGACCGTTTTTTATGAATTCTTGAATTGTCACGCGAGATGAGTCGGTGTAGAAAATATCAGCTCGTTATTAAGCGTCAAAGATTTGAAAGAATAAAAACAGACAACAAGGCAAGTTCAATAAAAGTGTGTAATTCGTTTTCATAGTTTAATACAGATTTCACTCCCTCAAAACATCTTGTTCCATACACACTATACTTCGCTGTTGTGAAGCGAGGCGATTCAGTAACATCACTGATATGCCATCAATTTCCATGAGGCTCACCTCTGGGTAATGGCTAATACTTATCACCCCTGGGTAACGATATATTACCCCTGGTAATGGTTAATACTTATCACCCCTGGGTACCAGTATACAGCAAGTCCTCGCTTAACGTGGGGGTTTGTGTTCCTGAAATTTCCCGCATAAAGAGAATTTGCATTAAGCGGGGAATCGTTTTCCTATAAGGAATAATAAGGTGGGGATGCCGTTCCAGCCCGTAATTTTTTTATTGTTATTATTTGACACTCCAGTACATTGTTGAACATGTTTAGTTTTAAATAGCTTTGATTTATATGATGTTTATATACATATACTACGTGTGACAGTCATTTACTTAAATACAAAGTGTGGATATGGCGAGGAGTGTGAACATGCGTTAAACGGTGATTTACTGTGTACGTACCACCCATGGGTAACGGTTTACGTACCACCCCTGGGTAACGGTATGCATAACATCCCTGGGTAATGGTACACATATCCCTGGGTAACGATATATATGTGTTTTTTCTGGGTAACGGTATGCGTGTCATCACAGACATTTTGACATTTACTAAACCCTGACACTACTTCCCATGTGTGACAACCAATTCACTGCTTTTTCTTGAACAAATTTGTGATAAATGTTTCTTAACGTTGTGCTGTCTTCTAAACTGTCCGTGATTATTTGTATATTTGCATGTTCCTGTTTGAGAGGAGCACAAACCTTAATATATAGAGGAATGCAGAGCTTGGGCAATTGTTGACACCAGCTCACCATGTGGCTGCCTTCCCACTAATCTGTGGTTCCTGCTCGTGCCTCCGAGTCATTGTCTCTCTTGGAGAGTGAGTGAATACTGTGCGGCGACGGGCGCGTTATGAGTTGACATCACAGTCCGTTCTCCTTTAATGCGGTGGTAGTTGTTGCGTTTCTCAAGATCACCGCGTTATGGAAACATCGCGTTATAATAAATCATCTTTAATAGAGGACAAAGCACAGTCCGCGTTAACACATGAGATGCATACACAGCATCTAGAAGCATCCAGCAGCATCCCACCTCCTGCGATGCTACGCAGAGGCAGCTGTTCGACCGCTTATTCCTGCTCGTGCAATGTACTTCCGCTCACTCGAACGCGTTATATCCAATTCACATCCGCGTTATGAAGAAAATGTGTTTCCCAATACATTCATCACATGATATCCAATTGCGTTATGAAAACAACGCGCGGCGTTGTAGGAGAACGGACTGCATTAGGAGCCAATAGTATCGCAGGGCTCTCTTTTTACGCGAGACGGCGTCTCGGGCGAGATGATCACGAGGGGCGACGGTGACTGTGGACCGCGTGCGCAGACCGTGGAGTCCCTGCAGGAGAAGGGAGCGGGCGACGATGCTCGCTTTGGCCAACGGAAGCCCCTGGTTGTGATGAAGCCGGGCCACCCGGCCATGTTCCCTCCCAGCCCCATGGATCAGCACTCACAAGGTGCCTTCTCTCTCTCACTTCCCTTTGTGTAGGCCACATGTGCCAAAATGAAGGGATCATTCGTGGATTTTCTCCGGGAGCTGCGGTTTTATCCCACACACACGTATAAACACTCATTTGTGGAGGTGGACAAACATCACGATATAGGAGCATGGAGCAACAGCAATTTATGGTAGAGCCGGTTTTGTGTGGTTTCCCCCATGCCTCTGTGCAAACACCGGTGCGTGACAAATTCTACGCCGATGTTAAATTCACTCGTGAAAAGTCATAAGCCACCACCGATGAGGAGGAGGAGCATTCCCGGTGATAATTTTATTGATTACATTGGGACTTAGAAGTAATAATCTTGTGAGGTGGTGGATGGTCAATGATGAGACTTTTGGCTTAAAACGAGCACCAAATTCCCTCACCCAAAAGACAATATACATCTTGTTCACCGGCACTTTCCAGAAGGGCTGCTATTCCTACACCACGGCGTTTCCGCTCATATTTCTATACCACGGTGTTTCCGTAGAGGGGGGCTGCTGCAGGATGAATGGGGGTTTCTTCTCTTGGCTTCTGCACGTTTACATTTCCACCACTGACTTTGTGTCAATTGACTTTCACTTGTATTCATTGCTCAAGAGAAAGGTTCAGAAGATACCACCAACACGTGCCAACTGAACTGAGGTGTACGCGGGGGTGTCCCCTTCCTGTGTGCATGGGGAGCGGTAATTCGCTATGACCCCGGCAACCTGAGTTCAATTCCCGCTCACGGGCCAACACCAGTGACGATGATTTGAACCGCTCCTGGGCCCTCCCCTAGGTCGACTCTGCTTCAAATGAGTACCTGGTGCGATGTGTAAACATCGCCAATGGGGAAACAAATGCGGCCAGGCGTGGTGCTGGCCACCCACCCCCTCGTGTGCCATGCTGGCCTGCATCGGTGCTCGCTAACAGCACTTTCCCCAATAGCCTGTTAAGGCTATAATGTGGGAGCGGGGATCTTTGTCTTTGCCTGTGTGCTGCTGCTGAACTTGTGCTCTGTGTCTCGCAGGTTACGCATCACCACACCCGTCCCCGCTGGGGGGCCCAGAGCATGCATCCAGTCCCATGTCGGGGGGAGGGCCCCCCACTTCATCCGTGCCCATGGCCTCGAACCCGAATGGCCCCCCTCCAAAGGGAGATGCCCAGGCTTCAGGACCCGCTGTGCCAAATGCAGGTTCGGACTTCACCAAGCGAACGTCGTTGTAGGCGCTTTCATTTTACGTTTGCCGAGTACAAGCCGGCCAAAGGGGTCCAAAACGCCGAGAAAGGCCAGCAACAATAAAAAAAGCACTGTCAGAGTTTTAATAGATGAGTGTAACGCTTTTCTTGAATTGAGAATGGTAATTATTCCAAGAGTTTGGGAAAATAGACGATGGAAGGAAATTCCAAGGTGGGAGCAGTGCGAGGAAAATTTAGCGGAAACACTGAAGTATTGTGACTTGCTGCCCAGTGATTGAACACCGTTTGGACGAGACCAAACTGTCTGGTCGACCTAGTTCTCAGCATGCGAGGAGGAACCGACGATTGAGGGATCACGGGAAAGATAGCCATGGCAGTAGCGATAGAAGAGTGATAATGAGGTGACCGATAGCCGGTAAACAAGTGACCGGAGTGGATCCGTGACTGCTAAATTATCACTCACCCTGACTGCTAAAGGTGATGGTATGGCGCTTCTTCACAGCACCCAAGTGCTTTGAAGAAATGTGTTGAATTTGTGGAGTTCGTCTGTGTGCAAGGCTGTGAACGCAGCAGCAATCGTCAAATCGTCTTTACGAGCACCGACGTACTTTCACCAATGCTGTCGGTGTTGCCTGTCGCCAACAGCGAACGGGGGGCCCGGCGCCCCCTCCCCGTTTAACCCGATGCAGCTGCAGCAGCTGCGGGCGCAGATCATGGCCTACAAGCTGCTGGCGCGGGGGCAGCCGCTCCCCGAGGGACTGCAGATGGCGCTGCAGGGCAAGCGCCCCATGGGCGGCCTGGCGCCCCCACAGAACGCGCAGAGCCAGCCGCCCCCTCCCCAGCAGTCGGCCCAGCAGCCACCGCCCCTGGGCTCTCCTCCGCAGGGCCACCTGCAGCACCAGCCGCCGGCATTCGGGGGCCGTCCGCAAGGTCTGTCTGTCCGTCTGTGCATCCGTCCGCCTTTTATCCCTTTAATTTTGATCAGTTACATTATTTTCGAAGCGCAGTTTCTGAGCGTAAGCCCACAGGCCCAAATCGTCACACGGCCAGCAACATACGGCACTCATCAAAGTTGTAATCGTCCAGAGGTGACGCGTTTCTTGAATTGAGTAAGGTTATTCTTTGGGTCTTTCGGTAAAGTCATGTAGATAGAACAATACAATTATTAAAATGAAAATAAAGTGAATCAAAAATGATACAAATATCACGACGTTCTGATCGCAACACAAGCAATCGTCATAATATTTTTATTATTTTATTCTATAATAATAAAGTGAATATTTGTGTAAGGTTGTTATGATAAAAGCTTTGGGAAAATGGACGATGAGAGGGAATTCCAAAGTGGAGCAGTTCGAGGAGAAGAAGCAGAAAGAGCTGTATTGTGACCTGCAGTGTGGTGGGTGAAGTGGGTGAGTCGGTGAGGGAGTTAGTGAGTAGGATAGTAAATGAGTAGGTGTGTGTTGTTGTAAACTGCAGTGTGGTGGTTGGAATAGACAACACAAAACAGTCAGTCTGGTAGAAGTGAGTCCTGGTGGGGGAATCAACAAGTGAATTTCACAGGAACAGTAACCGTGTTAGTAGCAATAGAGGGACAGGGAGATGACTGGCTGCAGGTGAGTGAGCATGTGACTGGTGTCAATTCGTGACCACTGGATTATACGTGTCTGTGCTTGTGCATACGCTGCCTGCATAATCACGGTCCCTTTATTTGCACTCAGCGTATATCTTGTGTGGTTAGTTGTGTTATTGCATGTCTGGGTGCTTGTGTTAACATGTATATGGGTTTTGCATATTGTTCAGTCAACTACTGCGGCTATGTGTGTGAATACGTGTGTGTGTGTATGGCGTAGCGGTTAGTGCACTAGGCTACGAATCTGGTGTCCCAAGTTCGATTCCTGCTCACGGCCAACACCAGTAACAATTGTCTGAACCGGTCCTATGGCTTTCCTCGGTCTACCCAGCCTCAAATGAGTACCTGGTGTGGTGTGTTAACATCACCACTGGAGAGACAAAGATGGCCGGGCATGATGTTGGCCACCCACCCCCTCGTGTGCCGTGCCAGCCTTCATAGTTGCTCGCTAACAGCATTTGCCCCAAGAGTCTGTTCATGCTACACGGGGGATCTTTGTCTTTATATAGTTACTGGTGTGCGTGTACCTGTGCAGTGGTGGTACAGTGGTTAGCGCGCTGCTCTACAAATTTGAGTTCAATTCCCAGCCACCATTAACATCTGTGATGAGTAATATCAAATTACAGCCCTGAGACATTGGTTGATATTAAACATTCCTGTGGCAAGGGGTGAGTCTGTCCTAAAGATAACCACTGTTGACTTTCCTTATAAACTAGTACTAAATTAATCGACCCCTGAGAGATGATGGGCTGAGCCACATGGCTCAGATTTAAAAAAAACACAATTGTACAATTGATTGTGTGTAACGTGTGTGTTTTGTGGCGACGTGAATTAGGGATGGGGGTGCCCCCTGTTCCGTCCGGGGCACCTGTGGGGGCTCTGCCGGGGATGCCGGCTCAGCAGCAACACCCCCCCAGCAACACCAAGCCCTGGCCTGATGGTAACGCCACACACCAGCATCAGCATCAATGGAAACGTACATTATTATTACGGCTACAGTAGTCCCTTGGTTCAGAGTGACATTGGTTAGCGGTTTTTCGGTTAATGTTTCGTCTCCCACAGGACCCCCATGGTTTCGACGAACGTTAACATTTTGATTAATGGTATGTTTATGTTACGCATGCGGGCACCAATTTCGGCCAACCCGAGTGCTTGTAAGTGGGGCTGAGCCATGCCCTCAGCCAATCAGCGACGACCTTTAATGGCTTTGTCTATATTACGTTTTATGTATTTGCAGTGGAAACAGCTCTCTTGCAGACTCAATCGATGAACAGTTTTTTCGGTTAAAAGTAGTTTTCGTGGAACGGACTAAAAACGTTTACAGAGGGGACTACTGTCCTATGCTTGTTCACCCAGGAAAACCTCACCGAGGCTCGACTCTTCCAGGAGGGTCCTGATAAATTGCTAAGACGATAGCAATGGCGGTGCTGCCGTGGTATGATGTTAACTACCTCGCCGGGTACGCAGGAGTTCATTGGGTTCCATCCCGACCCTGACGCCTGTTTGTTTGGAGTTTGCATGTTTCTCTCTTTCCCCGTGATCGCGTGGATTTTTCTCCCGGTCCTCCGGTGTTTCCCTCCACATTTTGACAAGTGTGTTTAGAGTATTTGGCTGCTTTAAATTTCCATATGATAAGTCACTTCGTTGAGCTATGATTTGTGACGAGGTCACATCTGAAAAAGAGGTGTCTAGCACAGTGGGCCTTACCTGGTAAAATAGTTTAACGACTGCTGCTGTGTGTAATCCCAATTATGTAATGTGTGGTAATTTTTGTTTTCAAAATTTTTTTTCCGTAAAGCCAGCACACAATTGCAGAGGAGTAGGCCAATGACGTCACAGGGTCTTTACTGTCCACTGTGAGTGAAGCAGACGGCCTTGCTGTATTTTATGGTTCATGCTCACTCTAGTATTAACCAGAGGAGCATGCTGGAGTTGAACCTCTGCAACAAATGGCGAACGTGCTACTACCTCAGGGCAGCTGCGTCATTGTTTACAATGACACCATTGTTGCATTTTGCAAATACAGGATTTCGCTTTTTAATAAAAAAAAAAGGAAAAATCCCGAGAGACGGCACACAGATATACACGTGCACACTCACCCACATTAACCCACACCTATATCCACACCCATGCATATACACACACAGATATACGAATGTACGCTCACCCACACACTCACCCACACGTAATGACAGGTCTACACACACACGCAATATACAAAGATACACATACATACACGTAATCACTCACCCCCCTACACGTTCACTCACCCACACACTCACCCACACGTATACAAATACGCACACAATATGCAAAGATATACATACACGCAATTGTTCATCCACCTACACAAACAAATACACATTCACCCATGCACCCAGACACATACGCTCACCCATCCAAATATGCACATATAAACTCAGACACTCATAAAGCGCACATAAAATACAGCAAAGCCGAGACTGGTGGCATTGCATCATGCGTGTGTGGGAGATCCTTCCGTTTTGAAGCGGCGACTCCATGTCAGCGAGGGTGTTCCTGGTCGGCTTTTGTATTGGTCGTCATCGTCGTCGTTGTTATTGCTGTCTCAGGCCCACCCCAAAACGCGGCGGGAGTCCCCCAGAAAGTGGCGCCCCCACAGACGGGCACAAGCCGGCCGTCTCCAGCCCAGACCCCCGTGCCGGCACCGCACGCCGCCATCACGCCCGTGAGCGCTCCCACGGCCCCCGCGCACATGTCCGGCCCGCCGGGGCCTGGCGGTGGGGCCCAGCAAGGCCCGCCACTACCGCTGGGCCCCCAGGGGCCTGTGCCGCATCAGGGCGGCGGCGGAGGCGGTGGCGCCGCGCCGCTTCAGTCGAAGCAGACCAAGATGGTGCCGGTGCAGAAGCCTCGTGGCCTGGACCCCGTGGAGATCCTGCAGGAGAGAGAGTACAGGTGCCGCCTGCACTCGGGTCGTCGTTTTGCACTGCGCAAGGGGCTCTAATGTGGCCCAGCAGCTGTAGTGCGTTCGCCGATTGATGCGGAGATTCACGGTTCACATACGTATGTATTTACGTACATTCTCTCGCACCATTACGTAGACAACCGTGGTAATCGGAGGTGCGGGGGAAAGACAACAAACTAGACACAAAGCAATTGTAAAGAAATTAGTTTTCAATCTAGATAAAAAAGTGCATAGCTCCAGTGGCTTCCTGATGTATACTGCGTGGTGTGCGAGCAAGCAAGCAATTGCAGGGCTGCACCTTTACATTTTAACTGAGAACTGAGAGGATAAATAATAAACCACGCGGTGACTTAGGCCTGCACCGTGTAGTTTGTACGTTCACTGTCCATCTGCGCATTCTTTACGTTCCACTGGAATCGGTTACCCGATGCCGACTTTGAACTGGTAACCGATTACGAGAGCGGTTACCGGTTAACAATCCTCGTCCATATGCAGGCTCATGCATGCACCAGTGTGGATGGGAATTGTGCCTGGGTTCATTCTCTTAAAGACCCAAGACCCACATGGCATCATGGCCAGAGCCAGTGATGCCACCGGTGGTGGTTGGTGGTCGGAAACGATGCGTAAGGTGGATCTCCTGGTTCCCAGTGCTCGTGGGGTCCATTGGCCACTGAGAGGCTCATCTGCCTTCACGATTCAACAGATGACCCAGGGACCCACAGACCAATTTCATAAGGAGAACTGTAGACTTTGTTTATAAACAGGCAAGATTTGTTTGTGGATTTTCCATATTGTGCAGTCAACTTTTGCTTATGTATATAGATGTGTTAGTGTGTTGTGAGGAGCGGTAGTGTGTGTTGTGGGGAGCGCGCTGACCTACGAATCCGTTAACCCGAGTTTGATTCCCGCTCACGGCCAATACCAGGGCCTCCCCGAGGTCGACTCAGCCTCAAATGAGTATATGGTGCGATGCATAAACATCGCCACGAGACAGACAAAGGCGGCCGGGCGTGGTGCTGGCTACCCACTCTCTTGTGTGTCGTGCTGGCCTTCATAGGTGCTCGCTAACAGCACTTACCCTTACACTCTGCGAAAGGTTATACGGGGGATCTTTGTATTTGTGTGGGCAGTGGTTATAGAGTGGAAAGCGAACTGTGCTACGAACTCAGCGACCCAAGTTAAATTCCCACTCGTGACAAACATTCATGCCAAATATCTGAACTGGTTTTGGGCCCCCCTATGCATACAGCGTGTGGGGTGTAAACATTAGCACTGGGAAGACAAAGGCGGCCGGGTGTGATGCCGGCTACACCATCCTCCTTTCATCCTGCGTTGTGCTTCATGGGTGCCACTCTCCAACAGCACTTGCCCCATCGGTTTGTTAAGGCTATACGGGGCACTATTTTTTTTGTTGTAGGCTGCAGGCTCGGATTACACATCGTATTCAGGAGCTTGAGGGACTCACGGCCGCGCTGCCCTTTGACCTTCGTACCAAGGCCACCGTGGAACTCAAGGCCCTTCGTCTGTTAAACTTCCAGCGCCAGGTAAGTGGTGCGCGGGTCCCACTGTGGTCACGGAGAGGAGATGCAACCTGGACATCTGCGTCCTCACGGCACCACCGCGCCGGACCTGTGGCCTCTGGGCTCACTGCTGAAGCAGTGAACTGAGACTTGATTGTTGGTTTATTCAACCAAAGTTCTCTTGTCTAAAAAAACTCTTGAAAATCGATTACTTTTTGTGCATAACTTGCTAGCAGTAGCACTTCCGATTAGCACTGTAAGCTACGTACAGTAATAAAAGAAGTTCTATATGCATACGATAGGGTAAGCTTCTCATAAATTAAGTTGCAAGTTGATTTTGTTGAACTGGGTGAGAACTCAAAAGACCAGGATGAGTCTCAATTGTAAGTGTGACCTGGGTCACCAACACGACAAAAGCAATAACATAGAAACAAAGCGTAGCAATGAAGCAAAGAGAAATCAGTGCAGAGGCAACGAAATTGCAATCAGAGCAAAAACAACCAACATAGCAATCGGAGCAAAGACACAGAAATTAATATAAAATACGTTTCCCTTAACAAAAGTACGTTTCTCTTAACAATTTTTAAAACCATTCTCGATGGTCAAATTAAACATCAACGCGGATTTCAGGCGAATATCGCAGCCGCCGCGCAGAGCGCAGTGCCGGCACGTTGACGTTGACGTCGCGCCCCACACACGAGTCGCTTACCTCGCGCGAGCGCGCCACTTGCTCGCTCACTCGCGTGTGCGCGTCTATGTGTGTGCAGCTCCGGCAGGAGGTGGTCGCGTGCATGCGACGCGACTCCACCCTAGATACGGCCCTCAACGCCAAGGCGTACAAGCGAAGCAAGCGGCAGTCCCTGCGTGAAGCGCGCATCACCGAGAAGCTGGAGAAGCAACAGAAGATCGAGCAGGAGAAGAAGCGACGGCAGAAGCATCAGGTGCCCGTGAACGCTACACGTGGCCCTTTCCTCCCGGCGGGTCGGCATCGGTGCTGGAGGCTGGTCCGTTGTCTTGGCGTCAGAGTGAAACTAAAGTTATTTTTAACTTTTATATTTTATCAGGCCCACTGAGTGGCGACCTGGCCACAAATGATAGCTCAACGCAGAACATGTGGAAATTTATATCGGCCAGAGAAAAATCCACGCGACCACGAGGAGAATGTGAAAACTCCAAATATACAGGCATCGTCAGGGTCGGGATCGAAGCCACGACCTGTATACCAGGCGAGGTAGATAACATCTCGTCACTGCAGCGCCCAAGCTAAGTTGAAAAAGCCAAAGCGAATCTCAAATGAGCATTGAGGCACTGGGGCTCATTTCTCGTTTACAGCCCTGCAAATCCAGTGGTGGAAATTCCTCATTCCTAAAGCGGGGGTGAGTATATCCATAGCATATAGAAGGATAATGGGCTGAAGTCGATGCCTTTGTGTGTGTGTTTGTCTTTGTGTGTGTCTTGTTTTGTGTGTGTGTGTCTTTGTTTTGTGTGTCTTTGTTTTATGTGTGTGTGTGGGGAGCGGAGTTCGATCCCCGCTCATGGCCACCAACACCAGTGATGATTATCTGAACCGGTCATGGACCTCTCCTAGGTCGACTCTGCCCCAAATGAGTACCTGGTGCGGTGTGTAACCATCACCACTGGGCAGACAAAGGCCGCTGTGCATGGTGTTGGCCACCCACCCTCTCGTGTGCCATAGGTGTTCGCTAACAGCACTTGGCCCAACAGTCTGTTCAGGCTATACGGGGGATCTTTGTCTTTTTTGCATGTGTGTGTGGTAAATTTGTTTAGTTCTGGGTTAGTGGCTGATAATTGTTTGGTCATACCTTTGGTAAGGCTTCTGCCGAGCAACCATTAGAGATGCTGCTGTAAGTGATTTGACAAATCGCTTGCTTTGTGTGAGTTGGTGAATTACAGAACCACTCTATCAACCCACACCCCATTCCTTTCCCCCCACACCCCACCATACATACCCACACCCCACTCCACACCCCACCCACACCATACTCACGCTGATTTTGAGGCTGAAATTTTGCATTGCTCGGGGTCTGCGTGGCACGTTTCCAGACTGGCGTCATCATCACCTCCGATTAGCACGGTTGGCTACGGACAGTGCGAAAGATCTTCAACATACGTACGCGTACACCTGAGCTGAATTGTATCTGATGTCGCTCGGTGCTCCCCGTGTGTAGGAGTACCTGACCAGCATCTTGCAGCATGCCAAGGACTTCAAGGAATACCACCGCTCCATGGCGGCCAAAGTGCAGAAGCTGACCAAGGCGGTGTCCACGTACCACGCCAACACGGAGCGTGAGCAGAAGAAGGAGAACGAGCGCATCGAGAAGGAGCGCATGCGGCGTCTCATGGTGGGTCGCGTCGCCGGGGGCCACCCGTTGCCCGCTTGGTCAAGCGTAACCAACGTAGGACCTACGGAGCTCGGGCGATTTGTCAGCGTCGGTTCTGGCTGCCTTCCCCCGGCTTTGTCTTTGGTTTTCCGCACACCTCCGTGCAAATAACTGCATGCATTACACATTAATTTGATCGGTTTTTGTGAGGTCACGATACCTATTTCAGGAAGCCTGGTCAAGTGACGCTGTTACCTGGTTGTTGTCCTGACGATGTTTGCCGTAGTTTTGAGTGAAACGTTCCTCCTAATTGCTGCTAAATTTGGTTATGAGAATTGTTCTTCAACTCGGCGGGTGAGTGAACTGAAACGATAATAACTGGAATGTCGTTAAACGCTTATACACCATGTGATCGTTTTTTTGCTGCATTGCTTTGGGTGGTGGAGGGTTCTTAACACAGATCATGACGTTGTGGCCCAATGACAAAAAACGATTACGAATCAAACTCTGTAGCGTTTTGAGATGAAATTTGCATTCATGATTTTCCGTAACATTTTTATTAAAAATCTATTTGCATTCAGTGGCCAGATAGAATAAGCAATGCAGAGGTCCTGCAGAGAACACGGTGCAGGTGAGTGCTATAGCTACGATTCGGCGTAAACGATTGCGCTGGGTGGGCCGTGTGTGCAGCGTTGGCTGTGGGGCCCATTGCCGAGACCGGGATTGGAGTGGTTTCCACAAGTCTGGCGACCAAGGGGAAGAGAATATCTAAGAGCAGACGGTTAGGAGACTGTCGGTGCATATTTTGCAGGGTCGCTGCATGTCGACCGTGCAGCAGCGGGGAGGGTAAAAAGGCATTTTGATTGAAGCTTTGTGGTGGTGGCGATGCCATCCTGATCTTGCGTGTGCTTGCGTCGGCCTTCGGACGCAGGCCGAGGATGAGGAGGGCTACCGGAAGTTAATCGACCAGAAGAAGGACAAGCGCCTTGCGTACCTGCTGCAGCAGACGGACGAGTACATCGGTAACCTCACGGACCTGGTGTGCGAGCACAAAGCCACGCAGGCTGCCAAGGACCGCGAGAAGAAGAAGAAAAAGAAGAAGGTGAGTGAGGCTTTTGAACGCCGAGGCCCTTGTTCGGAAATATTGTGATTGTGAGCAGTTCGGACCCCCCCGTGTGTCTGGGAAATGGCTTGCTCGAGTCTGTATAAAGTTGAGAATCAGAATCGGAACTTTTATTTATCCTGGAGAAATCCGATGAGCTGTGAAGGTCCTTTTCACAAATATCAAGGAAGGGGGTTGGTCATAAATTTGCAACAACATCCATACAACACACACAATAGGAGTGCAAAGCATAGGAAAGGTAAGCAAGTCACTAAAAGTTAAATATGTAAAATAGATAAAGTATACGTGTTCAAATTACGTAAGTTCACCAATTCATAAGCTTCGGCAAGGCAGCAACACAGTCCCTCAATAGAATTGCACATTCAAATGTTACTCTCGATACTACATGGGTATCAATCCCACAGAGTCTGCTGAGATATTGGTGGTTTGTTGCGCAGTAGTCAAATTGAAACTATCAGAGGTGAAATTTTAGCCAAATTATTTTCAGAACTCATATTTGAGTGTCATGGTTTTTTTGTGCAGTTGGTAACTGGAGCTGCCGTGGTTTAATCGGGATCCAGGTTTCCAGTTCGATTCAATCTCACGGCGCGGCAGTTTAAACACCGGTGCAAGTTTAATAAATCCCCAACACCACCGCCTCTTTCAACCCAGCAGTATGAATGGGTACAACCCATGGTTAGTCGATCAGAAAGTCCTCTGTGGTGGGGTAGAGTGTGGGCACTCCCACATCTTCCAGCCCCTTCTGGTCAATTTTGGAAGAGTAGAACAATTACCCCTCTGGAGTTTGCTGTAGTGGAGGCCCCTTCCGGAAGGAAGTGGCGTGAGCAAGCAATTGCAAGGCTGCACCTTTACCTCTTGACCTTTACCACCAGTGACCAGGTTGAGACTACCATGGTGGCTGTCGGCATGGGGAGGCTGATGCATTGTAATGTTGGGCGCGATCTGTGTTTAACAGAAGGCGGCAGAGAAGGCGGAGGGAGGAGCGGTGGGCCCCGATGGAGAGGTGAGCTATTCACCCCAAGAGCCAAGTAGCAGCATCTGATGCTCATTCAGATGATGCTCATCTGATGCTCATCTGATGCTCATCTGATGCTCATCTGATGCTCATCTGATGCTCATCTGATGATGCTCATTTGATGCTTATCTGATGCTCATCTGATGCTCATTCAGATGATGCTCATCTGATGCTCATCTGATGCTCATTCAGATGATGCTTATCTGATGCTCATCTGATGCTCATTCAGATGATGCTCATTCAGATGATGCTCATCTGATGCTCATTCAGATGATGCTCATCTGATGCTCATTTCGACCTCACAGCAACGTCACCGTCCCTAGAGAGTATAAACCCGATCAGGCGCCCTCGCTAAGACACAGAGCCGCTGCTTCAACACGGAGCGATCTCCCACACACGCACAGACACACAGACACGACACTATGCCGCCAGTCTCGAACGATTGAAGCCTTTGATTAAAACTCGCACAGCACGAGCAGCTGTCGCGGAACGAGTCCGTTCTACTTGGCGCGGCGGTGGGCACCACTGTTTTTATTGATTTATATGTAGGTTGGCTCAGTGCGATACTCATTGTAGAAATTTGCACTGCTTAAATTATAGGTGTAAAATATTTGCATATGTTTCATTATGTATTTGCTATGGGTAAGTGTGTGTACATGTTTGAGCATTTATTGCGTGCGTGAGTGTGTATGTGTATATGTGAGTGATTATATACGTGTGTGTGTGTAAATTCCACTATGTGTTTGCTATGCATGAGTCAATCAACCTCCTGGTGGACACCCTTGCAAACGTGACGTTTCCATCTCAAGGAATTTCCAGGTTAAAAATTTTGATGGATAAAAAAAAGATGTTTTCGATATTCTGGCAAGCGTACAAGACGATGATGACCTTGTGCTGCTGCTGCTGTCGCTGCGTTTTGTGGCTGCGTCACAGCCGCTGGATGAGAGCAGTCAGATGAGCGAGCTGCCGGTGCGCGTGATCCACGTGGAATCGGGGCGGATCCTGTCGGGAGAGGATGCCCCCCGGGCCAATCAGCTGGACGCCTGGCTCGAGATGAACCCAGGGTAACTTTTGTTGGCAGGGCCCAGGACACACACACGACTTGCACGGAGAGATCTCGGCATCCGAATCAAGAGCCATGTCCTCTTGCTACTAAGGTCATTGAGGCATTGGTGCTTATTTCCAGTTGACAGTCCTGCAGAGCTAGTTGTGTCCAAAGCCTCCATCTTTAACTCCGAACTGCCACTACTTCTATACAAAACTCACATTTGGCTGTAGTTGGAATGCTACTCTTAACACATGTTGATTCTAAATGTGGAGGGAAAAACCAGAGGACCCGGAGAAAAATCCACAAGACCACCGGGAGGACATGAAACCCCAAATATATAGGTATCAAGGTCGGGAACGAACTAACGACCTCCTGTACACCAGACGAGGTAGTTCCATCTCCTAGCCACCGTGGCGCCCCAAACAAAAAACAAGCCAAACAATCTCCCATTGCCATGTGGAATCGCGACATGCTTCCCTGTGTCGACTCGTGTTGCAGATACGAGGTGGCACTGCGTTCTGACAGCGAGGAGAGCGGCTCGGAAGACGAGGAAGAGGTACGTGCGCAAATCACACAGCCAGATAATTGCGTCAGGAGTTGCGGAGTGGTGCATCGTTTTTGATGGTGCCTCCTTCGTGTTTGTGAATCGGGCATTGAGTCTCTCGATGATCTTGTGGTCTCTTTTGGGTGACCCCAGTCGCCGCACTCTGCCGTAAAGTTTTCCATTTTCTATTTGCGCATCGAGTGTCCGCATCTGCTGTCATGGTGTGGAGGGTTGATGATCACATTCGCACGAGTTAACTGCGCTGCTGACAGTCGCCCAGCAACAGAGGACGAGAGAGGTTTTCGCTGACTGAATTTAAAATGTATTTTTCCCACTTTATTTGGTGTGTGGCGTGATGTGGATTCACAGTTGTTGCTGAAGTCACCCTCCTGGTCCCCCAAGACCATAAAAGTCAAACATCGAATTAGAAGTGGGAATGTAACACCACGGTGGTGAAAAAGAGCTTCACAGCTCATCGGATTACTCCAGGATAAATACATATTTTGATACCAGCGAGTGCCAGCTGTGATACACACTGATTGTGTCTCTGGACCAACCGTTTGCTGTAGACCCAGGCGGCTTGCGTAGCAGCAGGCATGCTGCAGTGGCACGCAGCAACAGATTTTTAGACTGTAGCAGCAGTCGGGTTTGTGAAGCCTGACCTGGCATTAGATTCACCTGATCTGGCATCAGATTCACCTGATCTGGCATCAGATTCACCTGATCTGGCATCAGATTCACCTGAACTGGCATCAGATTCACCTGATCTGGTCACATGGATTTTTTCTCCTGTTTTTGCCCTCCATATTTAGAAACATATATTTAAACTATTTGGATGTTATACATTTTCAAAATGATAATCCACGTAGTTGAGCTATCATTTGTAGCCAGGTCGCTCCTGAAAAAGAGCTATAAAGCTAAGTGGGCCTTACCTGGTAAAATAAAAACTAGTTTAGTTTATCTGCATCAGTCTTCCTCAGGCCTACTGGTTCTTGGTGGGGTGGTCGACAGAGGCTGGGTGGAAGGAGGGCGACTTTAAGTAACAAATGTTGTAACGTTTTTGGCCGCCCCTCCTGGACATCTGTGAAAGAGCTTTATAGCTCATCGGATTCCTCCTCCAGTATAAATAAATATTCTGATTTTGTTTGGATCAAGCTGTCATGGCTGAATGAAGTAGAAATAAACCATTTGGGGAGGAGAGGTATCACGACCTTCTCAATCGAACCTTTGCTCTGCTCAGGATGATGAGGAGGAGGACGACAAAGAGGACGAGCTGCCCCACCAGCCGCCGTCTTCCGTCGAGGAACGCAAGAAGATCACGGACCCCGACGAGGTTTCGGAGCACGTGGCCAAGGACATTATTTTGTGAGAATCCCCGCACTGCTCCCACTTTGGGATTTCCCTCCCGTCTTCTCTTTTCTCCACGAGCTCTTCTTCCTCTGGAGGTCACCCACTTAAGCAGAACCGTAGTGCACACACTTACAACCTCTCGCCACTACGGCATGCAGCCATTCACCAACACACCACCTACTGCACGCTATAGCGGCCTATTCCCACCACATGCGACATGTCACAGTACTCCCACAGCACATTAACACGACGCGACTCCTTCACGCACGTGCTCACTCCCAACCGTGGCAACAGCAGCAGCAGGATCACTGGCAGCAGGCGCACGCCACACCGCACAAACGGGCGAGTGTAGACGCGGTTTGCAACAGGGGTTGCGGCTGAGCAGAGGTGCCCTCTTCTCCCCCTCCGCCTCCCTGCCCAACACTTGTCACCCCCCACGCTACGGACTCCCCACTCCTGATCAGGCCTACCGCTCTTACCCCAACTCGGCCCTTGGCCGCCAGTAGCACAAACAAAGTAAACTCTGTTCCTGACAACTTCAATTTTAACCCCCTCCACCGCCAACGATTTATCCATAAATTGAGAGCATAGGAGCATCTGGCTGAAGAAGAGAGGAGCTACCTGCCTAAATAGGCCGAGACAGCGGTGTTGAATGAGGTCCTCTGTTTTGGGGGATGAGGTCCTTCCTCTGTATTCCAGCAGATTTGTAAAAAAAAAAAACGAACACAATGTGGACGTGTGTATACCGCGATATTTTCTGGTATGCCCGTGCATCGGGATTTAAATGTTTCGCGTTGTCGTCTGTCCGTCCACCGCTAGGAGCGCCAAGCAGGACGTGGATGATGAGTACAAGATCAAGGAAGGCATGGACCTGATCGGCTCCTCCTCCTACTACGCCATGGCTCACGCCATCACCGAGTCCGTGCATCGCCAGTCGTCGCTCATGATCAACGGCTCCCTCAAGATGTACCAGGTGAGTGAGCCCTGTCCCGCGTGCAACCGCCTGCCGCACACTCATGGGGTGTCGGATGCAGGGGCCTGGTGTGTATGTGCATCTACACACATGCACGCGCGCGTGCGTCACACGTGTGATGCGTGTTTACTCGGCGCATTGTGGGGCGGCAGGTTGGCAGAGCAAGAAGGTGCCTGGATTCGATTTCCAACTCGGGCGTCTTTCTGTGTGGAGTTTGTTTGTTCTCTCACCTGTTGTGCATGGATTTCCTCCGGGTTTTCTGGTTTCCTCCTATAGCGAAAAACATTGTCATTGGTGTTGATTAAACATTCCAATGTAGCAGCAGGACCCTTCTGTAAAAGAGTCTTTGGACTCAGTGTGGCTTTCCTGGATAAATAACTAAACATATATACATACGATGACGTGAATCTGGTGTGCTGTGCAATGTGAGATTTGTTATTTCTGTATAGCGCCACCACGTGTCCAAACACTGTAACGTGTTGCAACGCGCCCAGAGTCCACGCGGCAAATTGCAGCAGAACGAACTATTTTGCGAGCCCCGTGCTCTTACACTGGAACGCTGAGTCTGTGCCGTGTGATGCCGATTGACAGGTGCAAGGCCTCGAGTGGATGGTGTCCCTCTACAACAACAACCTCAACGGCATTCTGGCGGATGAGATGGGGCTCGGCAAGACCATCCAGACCATCGGGCTCATCACCTACCTCATGGAGAACAAGCGTCTCAACGGGCCCTACCTCATCATCGTGCCGCTCTCGTCAGTCGCCTCCTCATCCGCACTGCTGTTAGGAAGCCGCGAGAGCTAGGCACTTTTAAATCTGGATTGGAAAACTCATTTCTTCAAAACTGCTTTTTGTGTTTCGTTTGTTGTCCTTCCCTCACACCTCCGATTAGCACGATTGTCTACGTACGGTGCAAAATAATTTCGACATACATACGTTCTATCGCTACTACATCCATGTTAAGGGACTTGGTTCTTCCAGACTGTTTTGTCTCATCCACACTGTTCAGCCATCACCACACTGTAGGTCACAACAACACACCCCCGATTAGCACGGTCTGCACCTCCGATTAGCACGGTTGGCTCCGTTTAGGTGCGAAAAAAGTTCACCATACATTCATACCATCATTCACTCACCCGCCTGCTCACCGAACCACGCACCCACCAAACCACCCACTCACCTACCGAACCACACGTTCACTTGCTGTTATCTGTTACAACTCTGATAGTGTTGCTGGCCGCTTGATGTGTTGGGCCTTTGGGGACTTGCGCCCAACAGCTGTTGAAGAGACAGTAATTTTGCTTAAGATTGTAATGACGATGCCTGATTGGTGAATGTCCTTGATTATGAGGGAGCTGCATTCATGTAACGGTCAGCACAGTGGACTTGCCAATCCAGTGGTCGCCGGTTCGATACGATCTCCTGGCGAAGCGGTTGAAACAGCGGTGCAAGTTTCTCAAATCCCCACTGCCACTGGCCTCTCTCTACCCAGCAGTAGGATGAATGGGTACAGCCACGGTTGCGTGTGATGAGGGTAAAGTGTAAGTCCTCCCACATCTTCCAACGCGTTTCATCAGTGTGGGAGAATTGGCCCAATGTCACTCTGGAGTGAAGGCCCTGAGTTAAACGAGCGTCAACCTCGCGTCACGGTCACTCGGTACCGGGCCGGTGGTAGCTGCGCTGCTGCACGTGGGTTCCTGTAATCCAGCACTGGAGGCAGCAGCTGCGAGGGTTGCTGGATCGCCGCACAGATGTTGCGAAACTCCCTTCCCGTTGGTGTTGAGGTGTCGTACCCCAACTTGCCTGGAGAAGGCAGTACAGCAAAAAGGTGGACTCCACCTGTTCCTCCTGTATGGAATACAGCGTTTCCCCCTCGCACGCGTGGGTGTTCTACAGGTGATGCGCTTTTCTCCCACGTGCAATCACTCCCTCATTGGGCGATAGCATCTTGATATTTAGAGGCCCGCAGAGCTCGAACATTTGTTGGTATAGGCCAATCGCGTGGCTGCCTTCCCGCTTGTCCGCGGTTCATCCTTGCACCTCTGAGTTAACCTCTTTTCGAGAGCGAGCAGCGGTGGCGCAACATTAAGAGGTGACATGGTAATACGCCGCGTGAGCCTTGAACCTCCCGGTGACCTTGGATCTTTTCCACCCACAGGACCTTGTCCAACTGGGTGATTGAGTTTGACAAATGGGCGCCCTCCGTGGTGAAGATCTCCTACAAGGTAAATGCATGGGGGGCTGCGTTTGTGAATCTGTCTGTGTGGAGCTGCAAGTGCCTGGCTAGAGTGGTGGGCTCCGCACTGGACTACTGACTGCACCGATTGTTGTCACCTTCTTACCCCATGCCCCTACTGGACATCTATGAAAAAAAGCTTTATAGCTCATCGGGTTTCCTCCAGTTTAAATAAATATTCTGATTCTGGATGTCGGCCAGCGAAACGTGTCCACTACATCGCGGCGCTGTCATGTGACGTGTGTGACGTTTGCTCAGTGGTCGCGTTGATATTTGAGACCTGTCAGAATCCTTGGCTATCCCCTTTTGGTGTACTTTTGCAATTTTTACTTAAGTACGTTATTTAGGAACATTAAGTAATTAATTAATTACTTTTTCCTGACTTGCTTACTTTTCCTATGCTCTGCACTACCATCGTGTTTTTGTATTGTTGTTATAACTTTCCGACCTTTCCCCTTCTGGACATCTGTGAAAAAGAGCTTTATAGCTCATCGGATTTCTCCAGAATAAAATAAAGATCCTGATTCTGTATGTGCATAATGGGTGCCTGTGTGTGTGTGGGGGGAGCGGTGGGGGAGCGGTAATGTAGCGTTTAGTATACTGCGCTACGAACCTGGCGACCCGGGTTCGATTCCCCCTCGCAGCCATCACCAGTGACAATTATCTGAAGCAGTCCTGGGCCTCTTCTAGGTCGACTCGGCCTCAAATAAGTACTGGTGCAGTATGTAAATATCGCTATTGGGGAGACAAAGATGGCCGGGCATGGTGCTGGCCACCCCCCCACTCCCTCGTGTGCCGTGCCGGTCTTAATATGTGCTCGCTTAACAGAACTTGCCTCAACAGTCTAGTAAAGCCTACATATTTTATTTGTGTGTGTGCGTCATGTGTGCGTGTGTGCATTTACGTGCGTAATGGGCCTGTGTGTGTGCGCAATGTGTGTGCCTGCAAGTGCGTAATGGGCGTGCGTGTGTGTGTGCGTGACCTGCGCGTTTGCCAGGGCTCCCCGGCTGCTCGACGTGCTTTCATGGTGCAGCTGCGTAGCGGGAAGTTCAATGTTCTTCTCACGACCTACGAGTACATCATCAAGGACAAACACGTGCTGGCCAAGGTACCCTGGCTCAGGCCAGACTCTTCCACCCTGGCTGACAGTCTCGCTCGCGATTCTAACGATGATCGTGATTTGATTTTACTAGAGCCACGCCCCGCCTTCACGCCCAGGCGGCTTGCATCACGTATTGTCTCAACACGTTTCAACGGGCACTCCCCCGTGGCTGTCCCTCTTGTGGCACCAGGTGATTTAGCACCCGTCCTGCGAGCGGGCATGAGGCTCCCAGGAGGTGGGTGACGATTACAATGTTGTCTCGCCTAGGGGACCCCACCCCCGCCCAAGTGGCAGCTGTCTCTGTGGGGCACAAGGTGATCAGACATCGACCTGTGAGCGGGCTTAATCCCAGTTGAGTCATTAGTTTTCAAGTGACGTCACGGGATCTTTAACGTCCACTGTGAGCAAAGTGGACGTCGCCAGGCATTTTATGGTGACGACACACCGCAGTACTAACCAGGATGGACTGCTAGATTCCAACCGGGAACCTCTGCAACAAGCTGAAAATGCGCTACCAATGGGCTATGTCACTGCCTGTTGCCGAATCTTCATGAAATTTGCTCAATTGAAAGTGGTTTACGCTGCGCCCTATGGGTCACAATGCACTCTACAGTTTGCAATGTGCCCTTTCGGTTCGCAACACGCCCTTCGGTTCACAAGGCGCCCTACAGTTTGCAAGGCACTCTAGGGTTTGTAATGAGCCATATGCTTTGGTAAGTCTCCGTAATCACAACCCGGGCTTTCCTTGGGTTTTCTGCTTGGTGAGTGCATAATGACGTCGCGGGTCGTACAGATTCGATTGAATCACGTGCTAACGTGGACCGGGATGCACACGCCGGTGGTGTCTGGCGTCGATTTGCGATCTGCAAAAGCGTCCCGAGTTTCTCCGTTAAGCTCTTTGCGTGTGCAGGGAAGCTCAGGGCAAAGTTAACCGCCTGGGGGACTCTGTCTGTGTGCAGATACGATGGAAATACATGATCGTGGATGAAGGACATCGCATGAAAAACCACCACTGCAAGCTCACCCAGGTGAGTCCTCGAGTTGATTTTATTTCAACCAAGGTGAGAAATCAAAGTAGACCAAAGGACGAGACTCATTTGCAAGAGTGACCTGGGTCACCAAAATTTAAAGAGTAGCAAAGTGCTACAATGATGCAGAGAGTTAATCGAAGCATAACACATCAGCGTGGTACAGAAGGAATTCAATGCAGCGCGTGAATGTTACGTGAATGGCGAGGTAAATTATAATTTGCCCCAAACGAAAATAGGGCTTAAGCTGAAAAACCAGGCTCCAGTCTACATTTCGACTGCCATTACACTCACTCAGACTTAATAACCATTGCTACAGTCTACATTATAGACTGCCAGTACACTCACCCAGCTTAATAACCATTGCTACATGTCTACATTATAGACTGCCAGTACACTCACCAAACTAAATAACCAGGCTACAGTCTATATTATAGACCTTCAGTACACTCACTCAGACTTAGAACCAGGCTACAATCTACATTTGTGTTTTTTTCATTTTTATTTAATTTGTATTCACTTTATTTTTCTATCTACGTGACTTTACCGAAAGAACCAAACAATATGTCATATATGTGTGCATGCGTATCGAAGTTACGAAGCCTTTCAATAGCATCTGTGGAGGGCCTGGTGGATTTTGGTGATATTGTCCTGAGAATCAGCAGTGCGGGCCGTGCCGGATTATGTGACCCGTGGTCCGCAGCGGGGTTACAGTGCCGACTCTTCTTCACCTTCCTTCGACGAAGGATGGGTGACCGCACCTCCCGTTACGCCTTTCCGCAAGCGGCTCGGGGCTGAACCACTGTTGCCCGGGCGCCTCCCCTAGGTGCTCAACTCGCACTACATCGCGCCGCGCCGCCTGCTGCTCACCGGCACGCCGCTGCAGAACAAGCTGCCCGAGCTGTGGGCCTTGCTCAACTTCCTGCTGCCCACCATCTTCAAGAGTTGCAGCACCTTCGAGCAGTGGTTCAACGCGCCCTTCGCCATGACCGGAGAGAAGGTACGCCCCTCACGGGATCGGTCGCCGCCGGAAGGGGGGATGGAGCGCGAGCCCCTCGGGCCACCGCGGCACCGTCTCCTTCCGAGGGCACGAGCGGAATTCGCTGGTGCCCAGCCATTGCCGCCGTTCACAACGTAGACCGTGGGTTTACTACCCCACTGCTCAACTCCGATCCACTGCAAAGAGGAAGTGTTCGTCAGGAGAACGGGCCCTGTCGACGTGCCGCACGTGCCTGTAATCTAGCGCTGTAGAGGCAGCGGCGAGGGTTGGTGGATCGCATGCGGATATTGCACATCGAGAAGGAGCCATACCATGGCGCACCAGCAGAAGGCAATACAGCCCGAATGTGGGACCTCAGCTGTTCCGTCTGTGTGGGATAGAGTGTTGTCCCCCTTCACACACGTGGGATTTCTCCAGGTGCTTGGGGTCCCTCCACATGTATGCAATCATTAATTTGTCAATTACAGCTTAACATATATATAGAACCGCAGAGCTTTGGAAATTGTTTGTAGTGTTGGCTCACCTCCTCGCTGCTGCCTCCCCGCAGGAATGTAAAATGATCTTCAGGAACATAAAATGACACTCAGGAAATGCAATGAGCGCAATGTCCATTTATTTGTTATATCTCAGTGCAGTCTCAATTTTATTCAGCACCGTTCACACAATTACCTCACAGCGCTTGACATAAAATATTCCAAACCTGAACAAACCGTTAACAAATAAAACTGAATAACCCTAACAAGAACAAAACAATGTGAAATGCACAGGACCTACACAGATGGGTGGTTCGCATGTGAAGACAAAAAGTTTTAAGATGGGGACCTAAAAGACTCAAGTGACTGAGAGTTCCCAACGCTCTGGGGACGAGGAGGATTAGGCTGCGCCTGGCTGCTGCTGAAGGCTCTGTCGCCCGCTCATCCCCGATTTGGCCTAGGCACGCACAGGCGTGCCTTGACCAAAGCTGCGTGATTGAGCCTCACGCACAGCTGCTTCACTGAGCTCGGCCGTGCGTGCGTGCGTGTGTGTGTGGGTGGGTGCGTGCGTGCATGTTCAGGTCGACCTGAACGAGGAGGAGACCATCCTCATCATTCGCCGATTGCACAAGGTGCTCCGCCCCTTCCTGCTGCGCCGCCTTAAGAAGGAGGTGGAGGCGCAGCTGCCTGAGAAGGTAACCGAGATGGCGTCGACCCCACGGGAGCCCCGATGGCTCGTGGCTCTTGATGTAGAAAGGCCGGCCGGGTGTGGTGCCGGCCACACCTACCCCCTCGTGTGCTGTGTAGGCCTTTGTAGGTGCTCGCTAACAGCACTTGCCTGAGCAATCTGTTAAAGGCTATATGGGGGATCTTTGTATCTTTGTGTGCACGTGTGACAGGTCGAGTACGTGATCAAGTGCGACATGTCAGCGCTGCAGAAGGTGCTCTACCGGCACATGCAGGCCAAGGGGGTGCTGCTCACTGATGGCTCCGAGAAGGACAAGAAGGTGCTGCTGTTGTTCTACTCGCACACATTGTAGATGTAGTAGAATGTGTGTACACGTGTCAGTACGTGTTTGCTGTGTGTGTGTGCGGATGAGTGAGTGTACGGCCTTTATAGGTGCTCGCAAGCAGCACTTGCCTCAACAGTCTGTTACGGCTATTTTGGGGATTTATGTCTTGTATTCATGTTATTGTGTATTGGCTATGTGTTTCAATCGACTTGTTGATTCATAACAGATTTTTTTGTCAGATCACCTGTATAAATTGCATGTCGTACATTCCTCCTCTACCCGACATGACCATTTCAATAACGCTGTCACGCGATGACCAAACGTGCCGGTTGGTGACTGCCCCAGCAGCCCCAGCGGTGGCGTTGCTGGAGAGCGATTTTGCACTCGGTGCACACCGGGGTGCGGACGTGGCGCTCTGACCGACGACCGGCATCGTGAAGCAGTCGCCACGATTGTCAAAGTGTCCTCCAGTCTTAGGCCTTAAATAGGTGTCATGAATGTGCACCCATAGGATTGCCTTTGTCCGGTAAAGGAAGGTTTACGACACGTATGAATCGTAACGTTGGTCGCGAAACCCCACTTGTTAAATGGGTGCGTTGGTGTCACGTGTGGACGTGTGTGCAGGGAAAGGGAGGCACCAAGACACTCATGAACACCATCATGCAGCTGCGCAAGATCTGCAACCACGTGTACATATTCCAGCACATCGAGGTGATGTGTGCGCGCGTGTGTGAAACGTTTAGTGGCTTCACTGAAGTCAGCTCAAATGATTCAGAGGTGGAAATTCATGCCATGCTGTGTGATTTACATGATCATTCATGAACAGTGCATGTGATTGCACAATTGCTCGTTAGAGCCTAAATAGTTAAAAGTAAATTTGAATTGAGCATTGAACCTAGCGATGTCCAACATCCGCTTACAGCCACCCTGCACATTCCAATAGCTGCTTATCTGAAAAACAACATGATTTCCCGACAAAATGGTATTCATTTTATCTATCCCGGAGGGAGGGATGATGTCTAGAGTCAACCCCCACCCTCCCCCCCCCTTCCCGAACCAGGATTTTAAACTCACAACCGTCAGCTGACCAGCCGCCTGGCAGTGAAGCGGCGGAGGCTTTGTGCTGCTTGACGCATCTCGGCTGTTATTAAAAGCCCCCCCCCCCTCCCCCCCACATGCTGCAATGGGAGAATGCTGCGTGCGTTACGGACTATCACAACGGCGCTCGTTGTTGTTGCAGGAGTCATTTTCCGAGCACCTCGGCTTCAGTGGAGGCATCATCCAAGGGTGAGCCTGAGCGTGACGCCAGCCCCGCGCACCATTCACTCGTCGTGTCCCTGGGCTGTCATTGGTCTCGTTTGGAGCTCGCGCTCGGGTCGCGGTGGTGGTGGACGTACATTTGTGGGGAAAGGTGGCGCAGCGGTTAGCGCTGCCCTACAAACCAAACAGCCTGTGGTTCAATTCCAGCTCACGGCCAACACCAGTGACTATTATCTGGACTATTATCTGGACCAGTCGACTTAGTCTCAAATGAGTACCTGGTGCGGTGTGTAAACATCGCCACTCGGGGAGACAAAGGCGGCCGGGCGTGGTAGTCCTCGCTAACAGCACTTGCCCCAACAGTGTTAAGGGTATACGGAGGATCTACATCTTTGGACGTATATTTTTTATTTAATTTGCACACAAAGACTCTGAAATCCCACGGCCGGAGTTCTTATATAACTTATTTGCCCAGGACAGTCACGCTAGGGGTGTGTCGGGCTGCGTCACAACGCTCGAACCGGCGTGCTCTCGCCACTACACTTGTGAGAGCGGACGCTGCGCTTGTGAGAGCGGACGCTGCGCTTGTGAGAGCGGACGCTGCGCTTGTGAGAGCGGACGCTGCGCTTGTGAGAGCGGACGCTGCGCTTGTGTGAGCGGACGCTGCGCTTGTGTGAGCGGACGCTGCGCTTGTGAGAGCGGACGCTGCGCTTGTGTGAGCGGACGCTGCGCTTGTGAGAGCGGACGCTGCGCTTGTGAGAGCGGACCCTGCGCTTGTGAGAGCGGACCCTGCGCTTGTGAGAGCGGACCCTGCGCTTGTGAGAGCGGACCCTGCGCTTGTGAGAGCGTGGACCCTGCGCTTGTGAGAGCGGACCCTGCGCTTGTGAGAGCGGACGCTGCGCTTGTGAGCGGACGCTGCGCTTGTGAGAGCGGACGCTGCGCTTGTGAGAGGACGCTACACTTGTGAGAGCGGACGTTGCGCTTGTGCTCGGTTCCCACAGAGCCGAACTCTACCGGGCGTCGGGCAAGTTCGAGGTGCTGGACCGCATCCTGCCCAAGCTGCGAGCCACCAACCACCGCGTGCTGCTCTTCTGCCAGATGACGGCGCTCATGACCATCATGGAGGACTACTTCGCCTTCCGCAGCTTCCGCTACCTCCGGCTGGATGGTACGCTCGCCGGCGCTGCCGATTGATGCGCCGCTCTCCCCTCTTCTGTTCCTCTGCTCACAGTGTTGCTTAGTTCGTTTCTTGTTATTTATGTTTATTTTCCATCGCGTCGTCATGCGTCGAGTGCAGAGCTGCCCCATGCTGTGTGTGGAGCAGAGGTTGCGTAAAGAGGTACCGCTATGATATCTGCTTCTGTGGGCCGTTCTGCAAGTGATAACTATGCTTTGTATTTGATTCTGAATTAGTTTTATTTTCGGTTAGATCATCTAGGTATAATGTCAGTTTTTAACTATAACCCTTTACAACCTGACATAGCGAATCAAATTAAGGTGTCACATCATGGACAAATATGACAATTGGTTTGGATTCTCAGGAAAACTGGAGGAATGTAGAATATTTTGGCAATTCTTATTTTACATGAAGTTTCGCTGGAGACTCCAACAGCATCATCAACAAAAGCTCAGCTATCGCGAGGACAAATCTGAGAAGGACAAGGTTGGCCGTGAAAGCCCTACATATAAAATAAAAAAATACTCGTTTTACTTTCACGTTTTCTTAGCGCCATTCATTCAAATCACATCTCTCTCAACACTCGGCTGGAGAAATGTGTAATGTGCTGCAGTTTCCTCCAGAGGCGCTGGGGGACACAGCAGACGAATCGGGGAAGGCCACCAGAACTGGCACCACCAAAAGCCGCCCTCCTTTTGTTGTCCTATGTTGGGATGTTTGGCCAACGCCACGAATGAGTGTGTGAGGAAACCGACGCGCGCGAGGGCGAGCTGGGGGGGGGCTGGAGGTCACGCTCGATCCCCGTACAGAACGGGCCATTCGGGGCACCCCCCCCCCCCGCCGGCACCGCCTCTGACTTTGCTTTGTTCTACGCCAGACTTGGCCCAGTTCTTAAAAAAAAAAAAATAGTTTTTGCCATCGCCCTGGGAAGCGTTGCCGAGCAACTCGATCCAGGTTGAGTGGTCTCTGCGCCCGGACGTCATTCGTTGGGTCGGGCGGTAGCCGTGTTCGGGACGCCCGCGACCGATCGCGTCCACGGGGACACCGCGAAGCCTCTGCAGTGTTTTGCGTCGAGGTGTCGCCGGCAGGAGGCGGCGGTTAGTGGGAGGGGGATGCTGGGCTACGTCATCCCATCGTTCCACCCGAATGGATCGCCAAGGAAGGGGGTGCAAGTAAACTAAGGGCGACTTGAAACAAAATAACATTTCATCAATTGATGATTGATCCTGATCGCCCCCAATCGACCCAGCAGGTCGTTGGTTCTCAGACCTTCTGGCCATGTAGGTGGCTACTGAATCGCGTTGTGGCGTTACCGTGCAGGAACTACAAAAGCGGAGGAGCGGGGAGACCTCCTCAAGAAATTCAACGAGCCCGACTCGCCCTACTTCATCTTCCTGCTGAGCACCCGCGCCGGAGGCCTCGGACTCAACCTCCAGGCCGCCGACACCGTTGTTATCTTTGACTCGGACTGGAACCCCCACCAGGTTACCCCTCCTCATACTGTCGCAAACCGCAACCCAGTGGCGAGTCTGCACTTTTCACGGTTTCGCGTAAACCGCTTCTGATTTACACGCCGCGGAGATGTAGCGGAATGTGGAGCGCGCACCGACTGTAAACGGAAGTTGGCGGGCCGAGACACGAGGCTAGGGGGTAAGCGCGTCTGCCGCTCGTTGTGTAGTTTCACGGTTCAAACTCAGCAGGGCACCCTGGTAAATTGTATGAATGTTGAACTTCTTTTGTAGCGTACGTAGCCAACCGTGCTAATCGGAGGTGTGGGAAAGGACAACAAACTAAACACAAAATGAATACTGCTGTACACCGTATTAATACTACACGCCATCTGCTTTGCTCGCAGTGGATGTTGCAACGTCATTTGAAAAGGAGCAGGAGGCCGTTTTGTGCGCTGGCATTCCAGTCCAAATTTGTCAAGTATGAAAAATGACCAATAATTAGCTTTTTTTGGATCGTGCCGTCTAAATATCACTCTCCGCCACCCGACAGCCAATCAATTCACATTGTCACGTGGGTAAGTGTACCAATTGATTTGGTTTATATATCGAGGACCCAGAGGTTGGACAGTTATTGGTAGCACTGGCTAAACCCGCGTGGCTGCTGGCCTTCCAGCTTGTTTGTGTGATTCCTCCTCCTGCGCCTCTGAGTCATTCTCTGTCTTTGAGAGCGAGGCGGAGTTTGTGCCCGTGTCGTGTTACGATCTGAAAAAATTTTTCATAAAATGGGGGGGGGTAGAATTTTATAACAACACAAAAACCGCGTGAGAGTGCCAACCGCTCCAGGAAACTCGCGCACATCACGACCCCTTCCCGGCCCTTCCTCTCGACTGCACTCCCCAGGACCTGCAGGCGCAGGACCGCGCCCACCGCATCGGGCAGCAGAACGAGGTGCGCGTGCTGCGGCTCTGCACCGTCAACAGCGTGGAGGAGAAGATCCTGGCGGCCGCCAAGTACAAGCTCAACGTGGACCAGAAGGTCATCCAGGCCGGGATGTTCGACCAGAAGTCGTCGAGCCACGAGCGGCGAATCTTCCTGCAGGCCATCCTGGAGCACGAGGAGCAGGACGAGGTGCGCCTGCCCGCCCGGCAGCAGATTTCTATTCATCATTTTTACACCACCCTGTTACCTACCACCGAGGTCGTTAACCGGGTAGTGTTAAACTACCGCCGTGGAAATATAACATTTGCAAGGGTGTCCGTTGCTTGGCGTTCATTAGCACGCACATAGCAAACACGTAATTACACCTATGCAAACACACACACTCATCATATACACTCACCCACCAAAGGCAAAGATCCCCCACATAGATTGTAACAGACTGTTCGGGCAAGTGCTGTTAGCGAGCACCTACGAAGGCCAGTAGAGCACACGAGGGGATGGGTGACCAGTCTCACTCCTAGGCCTCGGCAAGGTAAGGTAAAAGGTAAAAAGCAACGAGCCTACCTTTACCTTACCTTTTACCCTTACCCCATACAAATTTCCCAATTACAGGGTAATTACTGGGGTACTACACATGAAAAGGTTTATAACGGTAAATGCTAGGTAGAGGGCTTTATAACATATGTTGAGGAGTTCCCAGGACGCACTCTGATATGAAGGTAAGTTGAGAGGCTTCCGCCAAGGGTTTATTACAAACTTAACAATACACAAGGGTAGACAACGCCCAGGGGTTAGGGGTCCTACACCGAGTCCTGGTCCCTGCCCGGCTAGCTCCGGTCTCTCTCGTGTCAGATCGGGGACTCTGCCGACTCCACCGACCGGAGAAAGAGCACTTCTATCGGCTACCACCGGCTTCTCCCCAGACTTTCCGCTCGATCCCTCTCTACCCCTGGCTCTCTCTCTACCCTTCCTACTCTACCCGTTCCCACAGTGACCCCGCTTTTGTCACGGGGTCTCCCTTAAGTACTCTAGGAGACGTGACGTCATCGAGCCGCCCAGCGCGCATGACGTCACGTTTCGTGATGTCATCGCACTGGACGGCACACACGACGTCACGTCCCCATATTACCCCTCTACACATATAGAATACTCTCGATTCCAATTTTACATGCTTTCTTTGAACTCATTCTGTCTGTTGTTGTTGTCGTTGTTGTATCCTCAAATCTAGTAACTCAATTTTAACCCACTTCCCAATGTGGTATCGACTGCAAACTTGGTATACATATGTCATACTGATGACAACACTATATTCTATCATAAACATTCTTTTTTATATGTTATGTTTCTGTTTGGGTCTAATTGTCCACGGTCAACTGACGTTGGCTGTAATTGGCCACGGTCCCTTACATTATGGAAAGTTTCGGGGCCACTTCCTGGAGTCGTGGAGTTCTGCCATTACTAGTACATTTAATAAAAGCGTGTTTTTTTTATTATTACTTATTAAATGGAAGCCACGGACTGCGCTACGGAGTTTTTAGCGGTAAACAAGGTACGTATTTACCGGGTAATACTTCGCGCTACCTTTACCCTACCGGGTAATTCTTCCGAGCTACCTTTACCCTACCCTTTACCTTACCCCTTGGCATGTCGACACCTTTACTCTTTTACCCGGTAAAAAGGGTAAATTACCTTACCTTGCCGAGGCCTATTCACGTCCGTTTGCCTTTGTACACTACTGCTCCCCAAAACACACGTACACTCACTCGCCCACACAAATGCACTCGCACGTGCACACACACATAGAAAACACGTCACGTACAGTGAGTATCGCACCCAGTAAAACACATCGCGCCCCCGACTGCAAAACTACTGTGGGCTGGGTCTGTGAAACAGCGATACCTCTCTTTCGTGATTATCGCCGTGCGCTATGGGAATGTAAGCATGAATGCCCGCGACTTTATTCGTTTGCCGATGCTCGTATAATCCACAAGGTCGCGGCAGCAGCAGGAGCGGAGTTGTGAGGCTATGAAGCTGTGTGGGCTGGAGCCGCCGGGTCACGAGGTGTGGCGGTGGTTCCGCTTCACTTCGTCCCCCTCTTCCCTCCCTCTCGTTGTTGCATCCGCAGGATGAGGACGAGGTGCCCGACGATGAGACGGTGAACCAGATGATCGCCCGCAACGAGGATGAGTTCGATCTTTTCATGGTACGGAAACCATATTGTAACTTGTGTGGTGATCTCAAAGGGCGTTTATATTCGATTCATCGTTGATTATTTGCTGAGGCCACTGCGTAATTCCCTGGCCAAATCCGTATTGTTAAGAACCCTTAACCACAGGACGCAAGCCAAACAAATATGCTTGTATTATTCATTGTGTTTAAGAATGCTCCAATTATTATTTCCTGTAACATCGACACGAGCCCTGCATGTCACGTATATATGCGTTCACTCTTCCCCCTGGCCATTGGGTTAATGGAGACCCAATAGCAATTGCCCCTGACCATCGTGCTTACACGGTCCACCCACCACAGCTGTTTACGCTTCATCATAGCCACATCACACAACCATAGCCACATCACTCCATAGCAGCCACGTCATTCAATCATGGCCACGTCACTCAGTCAGAGCCACGTCACTCAATCAGAGCCACGTCACTCAATTATGGCCACGTGACTCAATCAGAGCCACGTCATTCAATTATGGCCACGTCACTCAGTCAGAGCCACGTCACTCAATCAGAGCCACGTCACTCAATCAGAGCCACGTCATTCAATCATGGCCACGTCACTCAATCATGGCCACGTCACTCAATCAGAGCCACGTCACTCAATCATGGCCACATCACTCAATCAGAGCCACGTCACTCAATCAGAGCCATGTCACTCAATCAGAGCCACGTCACTCAATCAGAGCCACGTGACTCAATCAGAGCCACGTCACTCAATCAGAGCCACGTCACTCAATCATGGCCACATCACTCAATCAGAGCCACGTCACTCAATCAGAGCCACGTCACTCAACCAGAGCCACGTCACTCAACCAGAGCCACGTCACTCAACCAGAGCCACGTCACTCAACCAGAGCCACGTCACTCAACCAGAGCCACGTCACTCAACCAGAGCCACATCACTCAATCAGAGCCACGTCACTCAACCAGAGCCACGTCACTCAACCAGAGCCACGTCACTCAACCAGAGCCACGTCACTCAACCAGAGCCACGTCACTCAATCAGAGACACGTCACTCAATCAGAGCCACGTCACTCAATCAGAGCCACGTCACTCAACCAGAGCCACGTCACTCAACCAGAGCCACGTCACTCAATCAGAGCCACGTCACTCAACCAGAGCCACATCACTCAATCATGGCCACGTCACTCAATCAGAGCCACGTCACTCAATCAGAGCCACGTCACTCAATCAGAGCCACGGCCACGTCACTCAATCAGAGCCACGTCACTCAACCAGAGCCACGTCACTCAATCAGAGCCACGTCACTCAATCAGAGCCACGTCACTCAATCAGAGCCACGTCACTCAATCAGAGCCACGTCACTCAATCAGAGCCACGGCCACGTCACTCAATCAGAGCCACGTCACTCAACCAGAGCCACGTCACTCAATCAGAGCCACGTCACTCAATCAGAGCCACGGCCACGTCACTCAATCAGAGCCACGTCACTCAATCAGAGCCACGTCACTCAATCAGAGCCACGTCACTCAATCAGAGCCACGTCACTCAATCAGAGCCACGGCCACGTCACTCAATCAGAGCCACGTCACTCGTCACTCAATCAGAGCCACGTCACTTGTCACTCAATCAGAGCCACGTCACTCAATCATGGCCACGTCACTCAATCAGAGCCACGTCACTCAATCAGAGCCACGTCACTCAATCAGAGCCACGTCACTCAATCAGAGCCACGTCACTCAATCAGAGCCACGTCACTCAACCAGAGCCACGTCACTCAACCAGAGCCACGTCACTCAATCAGAGCCACGTCACTCAATCAGAGCCACGTCACTCAATCAGAGCCACGTCACTCAACCAGAGCCACGTCACTCAACCAGAGCCACGTCACTCAATCAGAGCCACGTCACTCAATCAGAGCCACGTCACTCAACCAGAGCCACGTCACTCAATCAGAGCCACGTCACTCAATCAGAGCCACGGCCACGTCACTCAATCAGAGCCACGTCACTCAATCAGAGCCACGGCCACGTCACTCAATCAGAGCCACGTCACTCAATCAGAGCCACGTCACTCGGCTGCCCCATGTTCTCTCCATTACTTCTGCGTAGCTTCTCCTGTTTTGCCACGGAATTCCCGGCATTCATCTCGCACATCTGTGCTCAAATGCCAGCAACTTCTTTTTAAGCGGTTTAAATTAGGGCCCAGCTGTCCGATTCACACAGCCGTACAGATGGCACTCCTGGCCTCAAATACCCTTCTGCACCCACCACACTACAGGATACAACAACTCACTCACTCACCACACTGCAGGTCACTACAACCCTCCCACCACACTGCAGGATACAACAACTCACTCACTCACCACACTGCAGGTCACTACAACCCTCCCACCACACTGCAGGATACAACAACTCACTCACTCACCACACTGCAGGTCACTACAACCCTCCCACCACACTGCAGGATACAACAACTCACTCACTCACCACACTGCAGGTCACTACAACCCTCCCACCACACTGCAGGATACAACAACTCACTCACTCACCACACTGCAGGTCACTACAACCCTCCCACCACACTGCAGGATACAACAACTCACTCACTCACCACACTGCAGGTCACTACAACCCTCCCACCACACTGCAGGATACAACAACTCACTCACTCACCACACTGCAGGTCACTACAACCCTCCCACCACACTGCAGGATACAACAACTCACTCACTCACCACACTGCAGGTCACTACAACCCTCCCACCACACTGCAGGATACAACAACTCACTCACTCACCACACTGCAGGTCACTACAACCCTCCCACCACACTGCAGGATACAACAACTCACTCACTCACCACACTGCAGGATACAACAACTCACTCACTCACCACACTGCAGGATACAACAACTCACTCACTCACCACACTGCAGGATACAACAACTCACTCACTCACCACACTGCAGGATACAACACTTCTCCTTTTGCTTCTTCCCCTCGTATTGCTCCACTTTGAAATTCCCTCCCGTCATCATCCTCTCTTTTCCCCAAGCTCTTATAATGATAGTAAAGTATACAATAAATAAGTATTAAAATATAACAATAGGTTTTACCCTTTCTGGCAATAAAACACGTGTCCAGATGTTAAAACACCAAATGTCTCATTGTAGCTGCTCATCCCGAGCCATAATGCCCTGATAGTGCATTGTCTTTGTGCTGTTCGCCTTTTGGCGGTCTCTGGTCTAAAACTTTGAGATATCGGCTCAAAAGAAAGCTGTCTCTGGTGTGGACCAATCAGTTTCAAAGACAATGTCTCTATTCTAGATTTGAAGCTTTCGTGACTGCAATGATTCATATTCTTAGGTTTTTTCGGTAAAGTCACGTAGGTAAAAACATTAAAAAGTAAAATAAAATAAAAATCACGACGTTTCGGAGGCAACACAAGCTTCCGTCTTCAGGTGGTACCGTCACAGCCACGACAGCTGTATCAAGTAAATGAGAGATTGCAGGAGCTACCACTCCGTTTATATAATGGTTGGAGAAGGTGGTGGGGCAAGGGCCGCATACTTTTTATTAATATGGTAAGGTGAGGCTTAAGACTAAGAATAGACTGCATAACAAAGGCTGAGCCTTTGTTATGCATAACAAAGGCTGAGCCTTTGTTATGCATAACAAGGCTGAGGTGCGGTTTGTGACTCAACCTGTGAAAGGGAGACCACCACTAAACATGGTAAAACAGTAATGGTTGTCTGTCAAATAAGATTGGCAAATAAGTGTAGTTAAATCTTTTTTGCATGGTTAATCACATTTTTCCAATGATTACTCAGTTTGTAACCGTCATCACGGTTGAAATTATGTCTGTGTTTGTATATTTGTATGGCTTCGTGTACAAACCTTTGATGGTAGCCAGGAGGTTTGCAGAGAACCTTGGTCTCGGAAAATACAATTTCATGAGAGCCCACCGAGTTGTAGCAATGATCGGCAACGGCCGAAGAATCAGTTCTGCCGTGTTTCAGATCTGACTTGTGCTCGCGGACACGATCAGAAACATGACGTTTCGTTTCTCCAATGTAGCAATCACCACAAATGCAACTCAATTTGTAGACTCCAGGATACTGTAAGTCAGGAACGACATCCTTCACAGATGGAATCAAATCACAGATTTTATGCACTGTACTGAATCGGACTTGGATCTTATGTTTGTTTGGAATTTTGGAGATCTTTTTGGTCACGCCTGCTATGTATGGCAACGTGATAGTTTTGGTCGGAGTTTCATGTGACTGTTTCTGTATGGTGGGAGAAACAGCTTGGCGGATAGTGCGGTCAGAGTATCCGTTCATCCTGAGGGCCCGATGTACATGTCTTAATTCACCGGCCAGGTGGTGTTGGTCAGAAATGCCATGGGCTCTGTGGTATAGCGTTTTGATGAGAGAATTCTTTTGAGATGGGTGGTGGTGGGAATCCGGTTTCAAGTAGGAATCTGTGTGGGTGGCTTTCCTGTAGACAGAATGTCCCAAGGATCCGTCAGGCCTCCTCTCAAACAGAATATCCAAGAATGGTAGTTTACCGTCTTTCTCCACTTCCATGGTGAATCCCTCATTCTGTTTGTAGAAGGTGCCATTCCAGGTAAAATAAGAATGAGGGTACCCCTATGGGCTCCCCCTTGTCATCAGTTATAGCCAACATATTCATGGAAAAGTTTGAATCAGACGCCATCCAGACATCCACCCTGCGTCCTTCCTTGTGGAAGAGGTATGTGGACGACACTTTCGTCATCTGGCCACATGGCCTCCCAGCATTGAACCACTTCTTGGACCACATCAATTCTAGACACCCATCCATCAGATTCTTAAGCCTCACCTTACCATATTAATAAAAAGTATGCGGCCCTTGCCCCACCACCTTCTCCAACCATTATATAAACGGAGTGGTAGCTCCTGCAATCTCTCATTTACTTGATACAGCTGTCGTGGCTGTGACGGTACCACCTGAAGACGGAAGCTTGTGTTGCCTCCGAAACGTCGTGATTTTTATTTTATTTTGCTTTTTAATGTTTTTACCTACGTGACTTTACCGAAAAAACCTAAGAATATAAATGTCTCTATTATCAGAGCATGTTTTTTGTTTGCATGTTCACCACCAGTACGTGTGGTTAATGCAGAACAGGATTCCTTGAATAAGGATTCTGGTTGGTGTTCTAACATCTTGACACCTGTTTTATTGCCAGAAAGGGTAAAACCTATTGTTACATATAATAAGTATTAGCCTTGCTTGATTCGCGAAATGCGTCAACTCGATTTCAACTGTTACACGTGCCGTCTGTCCCTGGCCACTGACATATTTGGGCCTCCGGGCCTGTCCTCGGCAAGTGTGTTTAGAAGGGGACTCTGATGTGTACGGTGATTGCGCCACCTCTGGTGGGCTGCCTCCCCCACCCACTGCATGTCCACCTCTCTCTCTCGTCCCTCTCGTCGCGCTGCTCAGCGCATGGACCTCGACCGGCGGCGTGAGGAGGCGCGTAACCCCCGTCGCAAGCCGCGCCTCATGGAGGAGGACGAGCTGCCCGGGTGGATCCTGAAGGATGACGCCGAGGTGGAGCGCCTGACGTGCGAGGAGGAGGAGGAGAAGATGTTTGGCAGAGGCACCCGGCACCGCAAGGACGTGGACTACAGCGACTCGCTCACCGAGAAGCAGTGGCTTCGGGTGCGTGTGGGCTGGAGCGCGTGGCGGCAGCAGGCCCCGAGTCCGTGGCCCGCACGGGCGCGTCGGGAGTCGCCGGCGCATGAAGCGCGCTGCTCAGGTGGTTGTCGCCACGCTAGTGCGCCCTGGGTGACTCCTGCAGGAGTTTGGCGGGGGGGGGGGGGGGTGGTGGGGGGTGAGCAACCATGATGGCCTGTGTCATCCCAATAGAGTGATTTTGGATTATTCATGTTATACGTAGGCCTTCAAGTGGAATGTTATGATTTTTCGGTTATTTTGGGTTAGCAAATTGTACAAATTTGTCACATTCTGCTGCTTGATTTTCAACATTCCTCTGGTTTTATGAAAAGCCACATAAATTGTAATATGTATCCACATGACAACTTCATTTGATTGGCTCAGTTCCAGGTAACTTTTCAAATTTGGACCACAAAGCTGGTACACAATGGCCTTATCTTCTGTTCTTTTAATGACATCATGGAACCTTCAACGTCCACTGTGAAGCAGACGGGGCGGAGTGTCTCACGGTGCAGACACCCGCAAGGTTACCCGGCCAGGCAGCTTCCCAGCACCATTGGAACCTCCTTTGCCAGTAGCAAAATATGATAATTGGTTTTTTACCCTTTTATCTGGCAACAAAACTGACACCTTTTTTTTACAAGGAATCATGTTTGCATTGACCACAATACCTGCGGTCGGAATGCAAACATTCCGACTGCAGGTATTGTGGTCCTTGTAAAAAAAAGGTGTCAGTTTTGTTGCCAGATAAAAAAGTTAAAAAACAATTATCAGCTTCCCAGCAATGAAAAATGATAGGAGTTACTAGTAAATAAGGACTTGTCCCTTGCTTTTTATTTGACGCGTGTGCGGCGATGGCGCAGCCATTGATCGAGGGTGCAGCCATCGATCGAGGGTGCAGCCATCGATCGAGGGTCGAATTCGAACCGTGTGTGATCGGCATCGCGCTCGCTGAAGGTATGCCTTCAGGGAAGTCGTGCACTGTATACGCAACTGCGCACAATTTTGTGAGTCACTTATAACTGCTTTGCCGTTATTTATTGCCAATTATGGACTCAGACTATTGTACTATCATTTCATAGAGTCCCTGGCACGTAATAATATGCTACACAGTGGCAGTGGGGGTCGCAAAATACCAATTTATTACTAATAAACCCCAATGATCCGATCGAAATTAAGGATTTCTGTAGGATGATTGGGGGAGCACGTACCACCCCACCTTCCCAACTGGCTCTTCCAGTGAGTAGAGCGGCTCGCAATCGGAAGGTGGCGAGTTCTATTCCTGGTTCGGAGGGGTTTACTCAGTCCATCATCGCTCCCTCTGGGTTTGATGAAGTGCGTCCCACTTAGTTGCAAAGTCAACAGTGGTTTTCCTATAAAATAATGTGGAATTCCCACCACTGCCTCAGGACTGTCAACACCAATGGTTCAATGCTCAATTGATTAGGAAATTACTCTTGACTATTAACCAGGGTGGCCTGCAGGAATTGAACTGCAAACCTCTGCAGCATGAGCAGTGAACTTTTGCTGGCCATGTTGCCACACAGTCGGGCCTGTTGCTATGACGGTCACACCCTTCGCATTTGACTTGGGTCAGTGTAGGCTGCCGGAGAGTGACTGCGTCTGTGTAGGCCACCTGAGGGTGACTGCGTCTGTGTGGGTCACCTGAGGGTGACTGCGTCTGCGTTGGTCGCTTGAGTGCACTACTGCGTCTGTGCAGGCCATTGAAGACGGCAACCTGGAGGAGATGGAGGAGGTGGTGCGAGCCAAACGGGCGCGCAAGCGGAAGGCGTCGCCCAGCTCGGTGGGGATGGAGCCGGAGGTGATCGAGGAGCCTCCCCCCCCGCCGGTCAAGGAGAGGCACAAGAAGAAGAGGGGCCGCCCCCCCGCGGCCGACAAGCCAGTGCCCAACCCGCCGTCCCTGCTCAACAAGATGAGGAAGGTCCTGGACGCAGTGCTCAAGTACAAGGACGGGTAAGTGGGAGCGTCCCTTGTACAAGGCACTGATTGGCACGCGGAGTACATGACAAACGCGGAATGTGCCCCCCCCCCCCCCCCCCCCCCCGTATATGGCCTTTAACAAACAGTTTGGGGCAAGTGCTGTTAGCGAGCACCTACGAAGGCCTGCAAGGCGCGTGAGGGGGATAGGTTAGCCAGCACCACGCCCATCCGCCTTTGACTCCCCAGTGCTGATGTTTACACAGAACCTCGGGGATGCTCGAACCCACTGGAACTGCTGAACCAGCGAGAGAGGTGTTACAACAAGAGGTTATTTGTGGCGATGAGCAAGCAAGCGGGGTCTGAGCTGGAAAGGAATTCCATCCACGGACGCAAGCACGTCAGTTGTGTTAATGGGGGAGATTAGGGAGAGAGAGATTAGCATGAATGAGCTTCCATCGCCGCATAAATATCATCCCCGCATATGCGCACAACAGCAGTGTTAATGAGAGATTAGCACCATGAGAGTGCAATCCTAAGGGCATGTGAGCATGAGAGTGCAATCCAAAGGACATGTGAGCATGACCGCTTGTGTTGCGATCGAAACGTCGTGATATATTATTTTCATTTTGTGTTATTTTTCCACCTACGTGACTTTACCAATAGAACCAAAGAGTATGGTTTCCTGCAGTCACGAAAACTTCAAATCAAGATTGGGTCACTGGGTTTGTAGCATGGTGCGCTAACCACGACGCTACCACTCCTCACACTTGAATGTATACATAGCAAGCACATAATGACACGTAAACAGACATTTTAAATCCATAATATATATCTCGATGCCTCGCGTTTGTAGTGGATTCAGCCGAGTCGCAGATGTACTCTTTGGAGGCAACACATATTTATTAATACCAACACATTAACACAAGGTGGTTACTGCCCCTTTACCAGGTAACCTATGGTGGTGGACTACCAGGCTAACTACGCTAGTTACTGGGCGTAGCTACAACGGACAGGACCCTGGCTTGTGTCCTTGTCCACGTGTTGGTGACTTCTTCTTGGACGTAGAACGTAGATCATAGATCTTCAGATGACAACAACAACGCTGAACCCTGGTCCCTGTGGGGACCCCGTTTATATGCTCCTGGGTCGTGGCTGGCCCCACACTTGACCACGACCACCTTCGAGGAACCTCTTACCCTTTCTCGACCCTTCCCGTAGGATCTCACCCTGACACGTGACCACCCCCTAGCCCCCACTTGGAGCCCCTGTGTCGATCTTACTTGTCACGTGCCTTCCAGGGTCAACCAGAGTGCCGTGGCCTTGGGTATCCTCATCCCATGGCTGACACTCTCACACTCCCTCCTGTAGGGGTCAGCACTGAACGCCATGCGTGGTGCCACTGAGTGCTATCCCAGCGCTCACCGAGCCCCCTCTAGGGCTGATACTACACCCACCTACGGGGTGTCCGCGATGACGATGCATCGCACGTCGTGCCTCGCTAGAGCCGGCATTACTCAGTGACATTCACGATGTCGCTACATACGTGATGTCCGCGATGTGAGCACTTCGCACGCCGTGCCTCTCTGGAGCCGGCACCACACAGTGACATCCGCGATGTCACTATACGTTTAATGATCGTGATGACTGGTGGAGAAAGGCAGCAGCAGCGACAGCTCCTGTTGTTCATAATAAAGTTTTTGGGTTAGATCGCGTTATTTATAAATGTGTCGTAACCCTCCATCACCCGACACGGCCAATCAGCAAAAAAAGTGTCACGTCAAAAGACAAATAGTTCACTACTTTAGCCCACCGGTGTTTTGAAGAGTGAATCCACAACATTTACAGTTTTTGAGTACGACGTTTCACTGGTAATTACATCCAGCATCATCGGGCAATTCGCCAGAATGGTGAAGCCCTCACTTGTTCCCGTTCTTAAATAGAGCAGCAGGGTGACGTTATCATTTAACTCATGCAGGTGCGACGATTTCAGTAGGGGTGGGGGGGGGTATTGTAATTATATAATAGATTGGTAATCAGTCAATTGTTATAATTAGTAATGAGTTGTAATGTGTGTTATTGTAATTATATGCTACGTTAGTAATCAGTTAATTAGTATGTGTTTCCCCTATAAGGAATTGTAATTGGTATTATTTAATAATAAGCTTCCAGGCTGAACTAAGCCTGTAGCTGTCAGAGCTCCTGTTGCTTCACAGCTCACTAGGACATCGTGTGGTGTGACACGCGTTGAATCGTTATCTTTGGCCTGGGCTTGTAAGCGGTATTTGCGAATGTGCTAAAGCCCGTGCAGTGTGAAAACAGAAAGATTAATTGCTTAATAGCCCCCAACCCTTCTCCGCGTCAGTCTTGCGTAAGAGCCCGGTGTGGCGCGACGCATAGGCACAAGCGTCACCGCTTCCTGCGGCTTTCACGTGCATCCCAGGGTCTAAGGTCAGAGCGATCGCCTGCTCAAACCAGCATTTCAGACGGAGCCTGTCTACCGATCACAGTCCCGAGCCAATTATGGAAATTACACATTTTATATGGTGGGGGCGAGTGACCACAGGACAATCGCAGTTGATTTTTCCAACACAGTCGTTCTCGCTTTATCGGCCCCGGATGGAGGTATAATTGACGAAGTAAACCACCACCAACCAGGATTCGAACTCCGCAGCCTTGAGATTGCGGGCCGCTTGCTCTATCGCTGGGTGGCCACCAGGCCGGCGGTGTGTGGAGGTACGGACACGGGAGGAGGGAGGAGAACCGTCTGCTTCTTTGTTTTATAAAAACGATTTGGGAGGTGGGGGGTGGGTTTGGGAAGCGGTTACAGTTACTGCCACCACCTGGGTGCATGGAGCTGAGTCACAATCTCATGACACCAGTTGGGACACCTGGACCCCTTTCGCTCAACGTTGACAATGGGACCTCACCTATTCTTGCCTTCACCAAACACAACTCAGCCGTGTGACTCACGGCGAATGCTGCAATCTTGCATCATGCGAGTGTGGCTCCTATCCTCTTCCCCTCCCTTCCTCTTCCCCTCCCTTCTACCCCCACCTAGGCCACCACCACTTGTGAGAGAGTATCTCACAATTCGCTTTGTTTACGCGTTATCTCTCGCTCAGATCGCAGGCGCATTCCTGCTGACCTCCAGACGCCTGTGTGCGTGGGCGTGTGTGCATGTGTGTGTGGGGCCTTGTCTGCAGGTCTGGCCGGCAGCTCAGTCAAGTCTTCGTGCAGCTGCCGTCACGCAAAGAGCTCCCTGAGTACTACGAGCTTATTCGAAAGCCTGTCGACTTCAAGAAAATCAAGGTGACCAAACCATGGTGCCTTCCATCCCCGCCTGGTGTGCCCTTACATGATCGCCGCACCATGGCCGTGCGCGTGGGCGATTCTTCGTTCAGCGTGGAGTGTTCATGCTCGCAATAAGCACATTGCATTGCCCGTGCAGGAATCGATCACTTGAAAATATTTTTTCTCCTCGACCCCGTTTTTTCTGAACCCCGTAAGAATGGCCGGAGAATGGGGGCGGGGGTGGGTGACCGGACCTCAGACATTGAACCACCGTGGCAAAAATTTGATCGTCATTGCTCCCAGAGGGGGGGGGGGGGGGGGGGGAGGGAAAAAAACGGCTGATCCGGACATCGCATTTTGTATTTTAAAGTTTTAGCGGTTATATCCCCCCCCTTCACTTGTTCCCCTTTCTAATCCACCGCTCTCGACCATTATCTCTGCGGTTGTAGGGTTCGTGTACCCAGGTAGCTTTAATCGGCCCCCATTTGGGGGAGAATTACTCCGAGGTTGCGACTGGACCGAGTACATTGTGCACTCATAGAATATATCCCCGCTGTGTCTCTTGTTCGTTGAGTTCAAGAATAATATTTTTAAAACTTTTTTTTCTCTTTTACTCACTGATGAGCACATGCCCAAAAGCCCCAAAATGTAAAGCGGCCAGCAACAAAACAGCGAACTTATCAAAGTTGTAATGAATCATAGTTACTACTAACATGTTTCTTGAATTGAGCAAAGTTATCATTATTATTACAAGAGTTTGGTAAATAAGAAATTATGATGATGGGAGGGAATTCCAAAGTGGAGTTGTGCCAGGGGAAGAAGCAGAAAGAGAAATGTTGTGACCTGCATTGTGGTGGGCGAGTGGGTGACTGTGGTGTTGTGACCTGCAGTGTAGTGCGGTGGTTGAACATGGTGTGTGTGTGTGCAACAAAACAGTGGAATGTTAATCAGCAAAGATCCTAATCTGGCAGTTCACCTGCATTGATTTTCAAGCAAGCCTGACTGCTGATGAGACATTGAAGGTCAAAACCAATGCTGCTGTAAAATTTCACTTCCAGAAGGTTGCATGGCCGGTTGGATGTGTAAAAAAAAAAGTAATCCATCGGAAGAAGGGGGCGTATGGTCTACCTGTTGATTTTGTTACTTATATTCTTCATAACGACGCTATTGATCACGTTACATCTGGGTTACCGTGAGATGCATCTGCTGCGTGCTCTTTCACGCACTGCGGGAGGCTTCACGCACTGCAGGAGGCAGGGAGGGTGGAAGGCTGCTTGTGCCGCGTGTGTGGTGTGCGCTGGAAACCTTGTCTGCCACAGGCTGCACGGTGCGGTGTGCTCTGAAGCCGCCCACACTCCGCTTTGCTACAATGTCCTGAAGCTACATCTCTCTCTCTGCGTAGCTCGTGGCCTCTGATAACAAATTTGTCAGCAAAATATATTCGGCCGAGGACGTACAAACAGACAACAAGGCCACACGGAGTTTAATCTAATTTCCACTTGCGAGAGGCATGGCCTTGCTTATTGACAAGTTACCGAGCTTGTAACATAGAAGCTTCTACATGCAATTGAGGAGTTGAGGGCGAGCTTTGTTCGCGGAAATTGGAAGAATTGAGTGAGGAAATTCCTCCCTTAATACCATATTATTTCCACTTGTACACAATACGAGGAAGCTGCACTTGCAATCTAGAGGTCACCGGTTCGATTCCATCTTCCGCCGTGGCAGTTGAAACAACTGAAAGTTTCTTAAAACCCCACCACAGCCGCCTCTGTCCACCCAGCAGCAATGGGCACAACCACTTGCGAAGCACAATTTTGTTTTCGGCGAGCCATCGAACAAAGACGGTCACTGCATCCCTTGCTTTCAGATGCGCTCCCACGGCTATCTTGAACGCTCTTTCCATCCGATATTAGTAAGCCACTGGAGCTATGTACTTTTAAATCTAGATTGAAAACTCATTCTTTTTGAACGGCTTTTCGTGTTTAGTTTGTTGTCCTTCACCGGCACCTCCGATGAGCATTGTTGGCTTCTAACATACATGCGTACATTCCAATCAATCTGTGTGCCTTAGCAAGGTAAAGGTGCAGCCCTGCAATTGCCAGCTCGCTCACGTCACTGCTGGCAGGAGGGCCAGGGAGTATTTGGCCTACTCTCTCACAATGACCAGACATCTAGGAGGAGGTGGGAGTAGACCCACGCCTTATCCCACCACACTCGACCTGCCGACTGACTTAGCTGTGGCTGTACCCATTCACACTCCCGGATGGACAGAGGCCGTGGGAATTTGAGAATCTTGCCACCGTCGTGTCAACTGCCGCGCCGGGAGATGGAATCGAACCGCCAGGCCCCGGCTTGCGAGTCCAGCGCGCCGTTGTGACCATTACACCACTGTGGCAGCCGCCGCCGCGGACCGAGCTGTAACTAATCGCATCAAAGTTACAGGAAATGAATTTGATTTCATTTTTATTTCTGTTTATGCACTGTTTTCAATTTTTTCTGTAACACAGTTCTTTTTGCACTGCTTTCTACGTGATATTGTGGCTCCGATTTCTATTTTCGTCATTTCTGTAACCTTATTTCATCGTATTGCTCAAGATGCCATGTTGGTGACCCAGGTCAGTCACCTGTACATGAGATGATAGAATGGCGGCAGTGCATCGAGGCTCTGACACAGCAAATCTTGCACCGTCTTATTTTACCCAGTAAAGCCACAGCGAGTCCCAAGACTTGTGTTGAGGGTGGGGTTGTGCCACATTTGGATGTTTGACCAAACACCAATGACATGTGCCTTCGCTATGGGAGGAAACCGGGAAGACCTGGAGGAAACTCTCACACACAAGTCACACACCTCGCACACACACCACACACACACCACACACACACCACACACACACCACACACACACCACACACACACCACACACACACCACACACTAACCTCGCACACACCACACACACACCACACACACACCACACACCACATACAAACCTCACACACCACACAATCACTGACCACACACTGTCAACAAAGACAACGATCCCCCCCCCCCCATATCCTGTAACAGACTATTGGGGCAAGTGCTGTTAGCACCTATGAAGTTCGGCAAGGCACACGAGACAGTGGGTGGCCCGCACCAAACCCGGCTAATGCTCATGTTTACACACCGCACCAGGTACTCATTGACGGCTTAGTTGATGTCGGGGAAGGCCCAGTACAAGTTAAGATATTCGTCAGTGAGAATCAAACTCGGGTTGCTAAGTTTGTAACTCGATGCGCTAACAACGACACTACCGCTCCCCACCTCATGGCACCCACACTCGCACACCCATGCATCGCTCACGGTCTTGTGTGTCGCGGTCCCCCAGGAGAGGATTCGAATCCACAAGTATCGCAGTCTGGATGACCTGGAAAAGGACGTGATGCTGCTGTGTCAGAACGCGCAGATCTACAACCTCGAGGGGTCTCTGGTGAGCCTCTCCTCCAGCACCGGGCCCCCGCAGCGCTCCGTGCTGGATAACATGGCCTGTGTTCAAGCATTACAGCAGCAGGGATGCATTCAAACTTCCCCTGTACATGAACCCTTCCTCTTTCCGGGACATCTGCAAGTTGCAGGGTGGGTGTCCCGTTCACCGCTGAATCTCGGAACACGCAAGCGGTTACCGTTAATTTTATTTAGAGAGGCATAGCGCTGCAGTTTTTAAAGACATGGTACTGTACTCATCGCAGAGAACCGTAGCGACAGGACCGCACTCTCGATGATAGCCGGCGCTAAACTGTCACACGCCCTCCCACGTGGCCTTTTACTTCCGATTACATTCAGAATTGATTTAGAAGAAAAACCTACGACGCATGCGTCCGTCATGGGAGCAGGAAAGGGTTAATCAGTCCCACTCTTGAACCTCCTTCCGTTCCTCTCGTCAAGTCTCACCTCTTCTCCATTGCCCGTTCCCTTCCTCGTCCCTCCCGTCACCCCTCCACGACTTCCTGTCCCTCCCCTCCCCTGCTCTCTCCTGACCCCACGTCCCCTTTATTTTGCGGTCGCTCATTCCTCGGGCCTAGCACGCCCCTGCTATCTAAATCACTCTATTTTTGTTACCGCTGTTAAACTATGTAAAGCGCCTTGAGCTAAGGCGCTATATAAATATTAAATAATAATCCAGCTGTGTGCCGTCTGCACTAAAACTCAAGTCGGGGAGAATTTCCTGCTTTTTTTCCTTTTACAGTAATGATCCATTTGGTGGAACTTCCACATTCCTATGGCGGGGCTAAGTCCAGCCATAGGACAACCACCCTTGACTTAACACAGAGTGGTATTGCATTTATTGGCTCCTGAGAGAGGGATGATGGGTTGCGTAAACTCCAAAACAAATTTTTTACCTCACAACCTCGAGAATGGACATCCCGACCGCGTACTCCAGAATATAAATAAATAACCAGACGATACACCTCTTCCTTTTCATATCCGTGTCTCCATGTTAAACATTGAGGTCGTTTTACACCTCCCTTCAGCCACACGGCCTTCTGCGAGTGCCATCATTTCAGCTGGGACCATAGTCACCAAGAAAACAGTTGGTAACACACTATGCCGTGAAGGACTGAAATCCTGCAGCGCCCGCAAGGTCCCCCTGCTCAAGAAAGCACATATACATGCCCGTCTGAAGTTTGCCAATGAACATCTGAATGATTCAGAGGACAACTGGGTGAAAGTGTTGTGGTCAAATGAGACCAAAATGGAGCTCTTTGGCATCAACTCAACTCGCCGTGTTTGGAGGAGGAGGAATGCTGCCTATGACCCCTAGAACACCAATCCCACCGTCAAACATGGAGGTGGAAACATTATGCTTTGGGGGTGTTTTTCTGCTAAGGGGACAGGACAACTTCACCGCATCAAAGGGACGATGGACGGGGCCATGTATCGTCAAATATTTGGTGAGAACCTCCTTCCATCAGCCAGGGCATTGAAAATGGGTCGTGGATAGGTATTCCAGCATGACAATGACCCAAAACACACGGCCAAGGCAACAAAGGAGCGGCTCAAGAAGAAGCACATTAAGGTCCTGGAGTGGCCTAACCAGTCTCCAGACCTTAATCCCATAGAAAATCTGTGGAGGGAGCTGAAGGTTCGAGTTGCCAAACGTCAGCCTCGAAACCTTAATGACTTGGAGAAGATCTGCAAAGAGAAGTGGGACAAAATCCCTCCTGAGATGTGTGCAAACCTGGTGGCCAACTACAAGAAACGTCTAACCTCTGATTGCCAACAAGGGTTTTGCCACCAAGTACTAAGTCATGTTTTGCAGAGGGGTCAAATACTTATTTCCCTCATTAAAATGCAAATCAATTTATAACATTTTTGACATGCGTTTTTCTGGATTTTTTGTTGTTATTCTGTCTCTCACTGTTCAAATAAACCTACCAATAAAATTATAGACTGATAATTTCCTTGTCAGTGGGCAAAAGTACAAAATCAGCATGGGATCAAATACTTTAATCCCTCACTGTATATTTTTAAAGTAGACTATACGCCTTCGCCACATGTACAACTGCAGACGAACCAGAGTCCGCATCACAACCGGTCGTCACATTCCGCTCTGGAGCAGTGAATTGGGGGGTGGGGGGCACGATGCGGTTTTGACTTGAGGCATTGTTGGCAAAGTTTCAAGAAAATGTAACAAACAAATCTCACCCGGGCAGGGTGGGAGGGGCTGGGGCGAGGGGGGATTGTGTTCTCTTCCTGATGTAAGTAAGAGCGTATCGGTGGCTTGTTTCTTGAGCGTGCCGGTTGATGTTCTACACCGGGAGTGACCTTGTACCACCGGTGGGGTGGGGACTGCTAGATCTACGAAGACTCCATCGTCCTGCAGTCCGTGTTCACGAGCACGAGAGAGAAGGTGGAGAAGGAGCCAAGCTGCGATGACGTGAGTGACGATGATGAAGATGATGACGGCTCTGAGTCCGAGTGTAAGCTGCTTCTCTCCGCTCCTTCCTTTTTTCACGCTTTAAGCGATGTTGCTGGCATATGCACGTGCTTTTTGTTGGGATTCTGTTAACTCGCACTGTTTATCTGCGCCGGTAACCCCACTACATTTAAAATCTCAAAACGGACATTTACACCGCATTGCGCAAACGGTCGCCGGCTTGTGCGTCTCTCGACGTCGTCGCTGTGCGAAAGCGCGGACGTTCTAATTTCAATTTGTCTGACACAGCCCACTCGGTGAAGGTGAAGATCAAGCTCGGAAAGAAGAAGGAGAAAGGGAAGGAGAGGGAACGGGCTCGCGTGGGCCGGCGGCGGTCGGGCCGCGGGGCCAAATCCAGGCCCGTGGTGAGCGACGACAGTGCCGATGAGGACAACGTGAGTCAAAGCCAAATTTCAGAGTCCTCCTCCTGGGTGACTGCTGTTGATGCGAGGGATTGTGACGCTGTGGATTAGTCCTGAGTCGTTGCCCGCTCTCTCTCTGGGTCATGGTTGTGGATCTTTTGAGGTCTTTTGTTCCGTTGATCTTGTTCAAGCCCGGGTCGCCAAAATTACAAAATCATTCAAGTTCATTAAATACATCAATGAAGCAGATAGAAAGCAGACTAAAAAACTACCTCGTAGAGATCAGAGCAAATGCAATCGCATTACAAATAGAATTGAAAACAGTGCACAAACAAACATTTAAATAACTGTTTATTCTGCAATGATTTCACGAATTGCGTTTACAAGTTTATTCATAGTCAAATTAAGTAGAAAAAACACGTAAATGAAATTAGGGCAATTATTGCACTAGTATGTAAATAGACGAGGATATACGTATTTACAACCGCAGGTGAACTTATTGTGGGCATTTGTGCCTTAAAAATCATGCCAAAAGAGCGTTGGCTTGATAGGCGGTGCTGTGACCGTACCGCCTTCCTTGGGCAATCCAAGCCTGAAAGGAGTTGGAAGTGAGGGCTTTTCTACCGAGGGTCAGGGCAGCTGGGTATGTGTGGCAGCGTTCCTTCACCGCCAACTGTCTCGGTTGAAATTCAAAGCCTTCGCTGGGAACATTCAAGCCTGCAGTTGTTTGTGTTGGATCATCTGTGGGCCCTTGGCCCGATTTTAATGTGGCACGGGTGAACCCCCGTGCCTCAGAGTTCAGGAAGGACTGGTGTTCGATTCCAGACTCGGACGCTTTTCTGCGTGGAGTTTGTATGTTCTTCCCCCTGTACTGCAATGGGTTGCTTCTTCTGGCAGTCTCCGGTTTCTCCCGTAGCTAAAAGCATACAATGTAACTGGGATTGGCCAAAACACCCCAATGAGCCTGTATTTTTGGGTAAAAAGTTATTATTTTAAGTGAGTAATTCCACGAAACAAGTTACTCTCAGTGCCACACTCATTACCATGCTTAAAGGAAAGAATGGTGAACTGATCTTTGACCACCAGGAACAGGTTTAGATAGAATTTTTGGTGAGGTCTTGGGGGAGGAGAAACCCCTCTCTGGGCTCAGGTGGGATTGGCCCTGCTTGGGCTATATTTCGTCATATATTAGAGGAAGTAACCGCTTCTTGTGAGTGGCTGCCATCTGTGAAGAAAACGCAAAGAGTGATCCAGAGCCTGATATCACGTACACTGCTGGGTAGAGATGTAGGTCATTTGAACAGAACATATATTTGCTTTTTGACCTGGTTAATGCGTATGGTACCGTAAATAGGACTGAGCTGTTGATTATAATTCTTCATGGTTTCAAAGTTCCTGACCCTCAGCTCACAATCATGAACTTCCTTCATGATGGTGGACAGGCCTGGGTAAAGCTGCGTGGCCACGAGTCAGATCCATTGTCGGTTCACCTTGGGGTGCAACATGGATGTTCTATAGCCCCTACGCTATTTAACACCTTTTCCCACCTAATTCAATAGGTTTTTCATGGCTGTACCGGTGGAATTTCCATCTGGTACAGATACGATGTGAGGCTAATCTATGCCTGGGTGCAGGGATGGCTCGCTTTTTGTGTCAACCATGTTATGTGTGCAGATGGTCTGGCAATTGCTGCCCACTGAAGAGTTGGATAAGCTACTGTTGAACCTGGAGTGTGCTACTCGTTTTATGTAATCGAATGCTGCCCTCCCCATGAGTGATAGGGGCAGTTGTGGATAGGGTAGAGAAATTTCTATACCTGGGCAGTGTGCTTACGACCAGCTCCGGTTTGGCAGCTGAGGTCACACTCTGAATCAATCGAGTGGCATCTTTAATCGGCTGCGTAACTTGAGGAAGCTACCTGGACTGTCGCTCCATACAAAGCTCTGGGTCTGCTGGAACACAATTATTCCCTACCTTCTCTAAGCTTGTGAAACGTAGAGCCCTTTAAAAGAACATCTGTGCTGGTTTTAAACATTAAGGCTGGCCTGCCTATGATCCATCGTGGGTTTAACCAGACTAGATTGTGTGAGGAGCTCACCAATCCTTGTAAGATCTGGGCACAGTCCCATCTGTGGGCTCCTCCGACAGGTGAGGCTGTGTTGGCTGGGTTATGCAACCCGCATGCCCAACCACCGCATGTCCAAGCAGCTTCTGTTTGGTCGGATCGAGGGGGCTAAACGAACGAAGCACCGGGCGGCTAAAACGCAGCAAGTTTGCACAGTGGGGGGAACGCAGGTGGGGGTGCATTTGCCAGTCATCTCAGTCAGTCAACCCATGGTACCTGGGTCTGTCCCATGACCTCTTTCCAGCGAGACCTCCACACTTCACACAGCCTCAAGGTGCAACTCGCCCGGCACAAGCGCCGTGGTGATGTCACCATCATCGTGGCGAATGGCGGTTGTGTGTAAATGTATGTGGGATGTGTGAGCGAGAGCGTGTAAATGTTTGTCTCGTGGTTTACAGAGTTGGTATATTTTCCTTATCTTGTGAATATATAATAATTATTCTAAACGGCTTTGATTTAAATAAACACTTCTGGTATTGAGCTACTGTGGATATGGAAACCTTCCCTTTCTGTGCCGGTCCTCTTAGATGGCTCTGCACAGCGTTCATCATTTACCACGCCCTTGCATTTTACGTGTACATTTCTGATGGCCCACAAATGATGTATTTAAATGCAGCAGCTTTACTTTTAAGAGATGCGATACAACTGGAAATGTTGCCTTGCGCATTCTGAGCTCGCCACTGTGTTACAAGGGCATTGTGATTCTGATATTTTTCAGGGTCAGTCGGAGGTTAGTAGCGAAGTTGAGTGAAAGATCGACGTCATTCCAGACGCACGCCCGGCGTGGTGGTGGAGCGGCGTTTTGAGTGAACGGCGTGGATCACAAATGCGCGTCGCAGCTTGCGCGCGCACGGAGAAACCTTGACTCGTGTGCATCTAAAGTCCACACGCACGCACCGTTGCAACACAGAGTTTACGTGTTACCCAACGGACCCGTTTTATCACCGCCGGTGTGTTCTTCCAAGCCGATGTTCGGATCTAAAGCGGTCTCTCGGAATGACTGACGGTAGTACTCGTAGGATTTCAGTCCTAGATCTTCATGTTTGCATGAACAATTTCTTCAGGGGCCAAATGCCGAGGGCCACCCTCTCCGTGTTGTCGATGCCGCGTGCAGACGCTGGCTGCTGAACGAGTGTTAGCGTTCGCACGCCCCGGTCGCAGGTTCAGTGGTCACGTTTCCTGCAGCGCTCGTCAAATACTATTTCGTGTGGTGTATTGATAATCGTATCAGTGTTTCATTCTCGCGTCACGCAGACTCTAGCATGTATGTAGCAGGCAGCTTTTTATATTGCAAATCCGGTCCAAGTTAGAACACTAAGGAGGTGGGGGCAGGGGGGGGGGTGGTTTTTAGGTGCAATGGATGATTCGTTTTTCCGAGCGGGCCACGAGAGATACTGTGCGTGGCATATCGGTGCTCTGCGGCGGTGCCGAGTCTGCGGCGTGGGTATTTGGTGTCGCCGCGTAAAACCAAGCTGTTTTTTTCTCAGTAAAAAGCCGTAAAAATGCAATTACGTGTAAGCACCAGTTGCATTTTGTTTTGAGAAGCTTCCAGTGTGTGAGATTAATGAACTTGTGAAACGACAAAATAAACACCTAACATTACATACGTGTGTCCGCTTTCATGTATTTGCTGCTCGTGCGATTGTATTTACAGTGCCCGTTACCCAAGAAGCGTCGAGATCTCAAGACTCTTTTTCAAGAGGGTCCTGCAAACTTTTCATAGTAGGGGCGACAATTTCTGAGTCCCAATTCAGTCCGAGTAAATTTCCAGATTTGGCAAATTTGGCCTACGTCGCAGGATCAAGTTTTTTGTGGGTTAGATCGCGTAAATATATTAATGTGTCGTTAAAACCTGCCACCACCCGACACAGCCAACGAGTAAGGGTTGTCACATAAACAGAACATGTCAATTCGTCACTAGTACAGCACACCGGTGTGTTGGAGAGCCAAACCACAACATCTTTATTGTCCGTGGAGTGAAGCAGATGTAGCCGGGGCCCATATTGTCTCCTGCTACGATCGTAACGAGAGCGATCGATGTGCTATTGTCACAATTGGTTGTGGTGGCCGTTTGTATGTTGAACTTTTTTTGCACCATACGTAGCCAACCACGCTAATCGGAGGTGCGGGGGAAGGACGAGTTCACAAAGCAGGAACACGATTGTGCCACGTGACGCAACACTTTATTTCGAAAGTAGTCTTCGGGGGAGCACTTGTTTCTCTGCAATCATGACCAGAGACACCGCATCAGCCCACATGCCACAAAACACCACACTGCTCAACACCATCTGGGCAAGGGCCTAATGTGCACGAGCAGCTACGGGTACAATCCCTAAGTCACCAATGTATCACGTGAACCCTAACTTTACCTGTGGCAACGAAATGGTGCACAAGACGCCTCGCTTCACGTGGCAATTTCACCCTGATACGCACATGCAGCTACTCCAACGCTTTATCCGCAGCTCGTTACACAGCCCAAACAAAATTGTGACAAAAAAAATTGGACCAGTGATTATGCAATATGGACTAGAAAAGAAATGTTACCAATGTATAAAACCTCGTTTTAGTGGAGCCTCTAAAATGTTACATGCCAGACAGCAGGAATTGTTTTTCCACAAACGGTGCTTTGGGTGAGGTGTCCATAAAAGATCATGCTCCAAAAAGTTCAACCAGCACATAGCCCACAATGATGTTTTGAAGATGTTAGCACTCCCAAAGTGACCTTTAAATTACGTAAAAATAATTTCACGATGGGTTTAATTGCATCTTCACATAAACGAAGAATTATATTTACCTTTTCCCCCAGTTTTCCCAGAATTTTAGATGCGATGCTGTCACGCTGATGTAATTTCTTCACATGAAAACAAAAACTTTTGTATGGTCCAAAAACGTCTATGTGATGACATGCACCTCTGATCAGCACGGTTGGCTACATACGGTGTGAAATAAGTTCAACGTACATGCCATTTCTTGGTCCCAGTAGGTGACATGAAGATCTTCAGTCTGAAGGTACTTTCAAACTCGGTATTTAGCAGTCGGGCCTCGTTCAAGCCCAGAAATCATCCCACGTCGGGCATCTGGCTATGATTCGGAAAGCCCGACCACACCTGCACTCCCCCTCTTCACCTTTAACCTTTTTTTTCGCTCGTGAACCTGCTCAAGTGTGGGGAGAATCTGTGCTTGAACTTGTGAAAGCTTTCCTGGAGCATGTCAGGGTTAGGACTGCGTGCGTCAAAGGGCAACGCAGCAACAGGAATATTGTAAAGATTCCACGTAGAGATTCAATGATGCAATCGCTCGGTGTTTGCAAAAAGAGACGAAAATGAGGATCTCGGGACTTAGTGCTTCATAGCAGTATTGGAATATGGGACTTCTTTACCTCCTGGTTCTCCAGGCTTCTGACTCGTCTTCGTCACGGGTACCGTCCATAAGGTTAATGTTCGCGCTGTGTTGGAGTGTTCATAGAGACAAGGCAGTGACGTGAATGAGAAATAAACTAGTGTAGTGGCATCGGGGGATGCCACTGCATGCCACGTTGGGCCAGCCCGTGTGTAAAGCACGGGACAGGCTGCTCACACCACCTACAACACAGCAGTGTGCAACGTGCACTCGTTGTGCGGTGTCAGCCCTCCGAGGCTAGGGAACGAGAGCGCCGGGAGTGGCGCAGGGGTGACAGGGGGCCATGGCACTCCGGATGAACCCGGAGGTCTAGTGGCCGGAGGTACCGGGGGTGGGGCCCCAAAGAGGGAGGATCAGGGACCCCAGGACAGGTTCCAGGGGCCTCTGGAAAGGTCGAGAAGGGAGGCAGGCCTAGGGGCCCCGGGACTGGGGATATAAGCCGGACCCCTGAACGGGTCCGGCGGTTGTTGCTGGTCTGAAGACTTGAAGACGTCCTCCTAAAGAAGAAGCCCAAGGGTCAAAACCAGGACTCGAGTCGGAGTCCGGCTTGACAGCTCCCCCCCCCCCCCCCCCCAGTCGCGTGAGGGCGAGTTAGCCTGGAGAGACCACTCTCCCAGTTACCTGTTGGAAGGGGCAGCTACCCCCCGCGTGTTAACAAGTGTTGTTGAAATAAACGTGTTGCCTCCATGAAGCCTCACTCTCCCTCTTGTTATGTATCTCGTTTATTGTTAGATTTTAATCACAGCTCCTATGATTACTGTTGTTACATTGTTTTTATAGCTTTATTTTGGTGATTTCGAAAACATATGGTTAAGCCATGTTTCTTGTAGGAAGTGCGGAGTTGGTCTGATAACTTTAATCTAAATTGTCTTATGGCTGTTATTGTTTGACTTGCATCACACTGGGATGTTTGCACACATCGTTGTAATACGGTGGGTTTTTTTTCTGGAAGATTTGCTGGTTTATCCAGGATGTTTCTGTTGCGCGACGTCGCTTTAAGATGTTCTTTGTTCATATTTTGTTTGTTGCGGTTGCACCCGACTCAAAAGCCGCATGGCTCACAGGGCTATACCTAATAAATGAAACTTGAAAACTTGAAACTGTACCCACTACACTAGTAATAAGCCGCACAAGATGCGCTCACCCTCGTAGACCGACTCGGAGGCACGAAGATAAACCACAGACAATCGGGAAGGCAGCAGCCACGTCATGACACCAACAATTGCCCAAGTCCTGCAGTCTGTATGTATATGTTGAACTTCTTTCGCACCTTACGTAGCTAACCGTGGCAATTGAAGGTGCTATCGGCCAATTAATGACCACATGTGGAAAGAAACCAGAGCAACCGGAAAAAATCCAAACGTGCAAGGTGGAAACACACTATCCCATACAGACGAAGCACATGGAGTCTTCCTTTTACTGTACTGCCTTCTGGTGAGCCAGAATATGGCTCCTCGAGTGCTGGTTTACAGGCGTGTGGCAACCACCGCTCAGATGGGAGTGTCGTGTCCTCGCAATGTGAGAGGCCTTGAAGAAACGGCAGTTCCTGAAGTTGCCACAATGATATTTCAATGTGGAGCCCTCCAAACACGATAAGTCTGTCTTCCCCGTGAATTGTGGGCCCGTTCATTGAATGTTCTTGTAGTTGGCAAATATGTAGCAGTCACAAGTTAGAGCAGGAATACAGACGGTTCAGTGATGGATGGCAAAACATTCGTACCATGCTCTTAGTTCTTTCGGTAAAGTCACACATTTGTAGATCGGCGCACAGGAACTTTGTTTATATTTACCAACTCTTCTTTTCGTGTGGCTGATGTTGATGGAGAGCAACGGCTGTAAATTTACACTGAGGTGGTAGAGTGGGACGATAGCGCCAGGAGCAGCTGAGGGTGTCGTGGTTGTGATGACGCCCCCGTCGTTATATGTAGATCGGGCAAGGAGTTGGTGCTGTTCTGGGTGACCATAGTCGCACACTGCCGGAGAGTTTTTTTGTTTTATATATTTAATCATCTTACCTTTTAACGTCATTCTGTCTGTGTGTGGCCGCTACTTGCGAGGGTTTACGTTTAACAAAAGACCCCATGTAGCACGGCATAAGCCGCATGGTGAGCCAGCGCTATTCCGATTTCGCATCCATCACCTTTAAAGTACTTTAATTAGCGATTTAGTGCTGTTTTTGTAATTTATGTATTACCTTGCGCCTCCCAGCGCGCGCCAAAGCACGCATTGGCACATGTGCATCCCTACCAAGGTGCACACGCGTTCGGTGGGGGGGGGGGGATTTCTCATTCGTGTGGACACTGCGCAAGAAACATTTATTACCATGACTGTTTACTCATTACCATTCCTGTTGCCTCTTATTCCCCACAAACTTTGCTTTTGCGGCCACGTCGTTATGTGAGGGAATGACACTTATGCACACGTTTTCTCTTTTAAAATAGGTACCTTTCTAAATATCACTGTCCTGCTCACAAAAAACAAGTTTGAGGGGAAGAAGAGCCTTTTTCTGTACTCTTGAGGCATACGCAGCCACGTAATATCACTTACTGCACAGGGCCAAACAAATAAATATACTGAATACTATTATGTCTTCATACTCTTGGGTCTTTCGGTCAAGTCACGTAAATAAAAAAATAATAGATCACGACGTTTCGATCGCAACACAAACAATCGTCTTCAGGTGAGAGAGAAAGCTGCTGAGACAAGGTCTTATATAGGCCTCAGAGGGGTGCATCAAGGTAGGTGGGTGGAGCTAGAGATGGTCCAACCACAGAGACTGGGGCAGTGGACACTCAGCCTGTCAATGCAAAGACATCCAACCTAGTAATGAAACTCAGAGAGTCAGTTAACATAGGTAGAAAAGATGGAAACATCATAGCAAGTTACAACTTTACCTGGTTAATCTTCTTCAGCCGACTTAATGTCAGCCAATTAGTTAGTAAATAGAAAAGTAATTGTGTAAGTCGATGTGTGCATGTGAGTCCATATATGTGTGTGCGTGGTGTGTGTGTGAGTCGATGTGTGTGTGTGTGTAAGTCCATGTGTGTGTGTGAGAGTTGATGGGTGTGTGTGTACGTCCATGTGTGTGTGTAAGTCGCTGTGTGTGTTTGAGTCACGATGCCGGACGGGCAACTCTGTCGTGGACAGTGCTCATGGCGTCTGTGACCACCAGAGTGGCTAAACGGAGGCTCTGGACGG